CCAGTCTGCACGACTGCCCATACAGTCCCCTAATCCTTCCTGTCCCGGCATAAGCTTCCAAAATTTCACACCAGCCCAAACGCCAAAGGCGGGCCTTGTCATTAAAACATGAAGTTTACGACTTTCTTGAAAGGTTCTATTAAAAAAAAAATTAACACCCCCGCCATCAAAATCTAAATTTTCTGACTTTGAAATATTTATTTTAGCCAGTGGACGTTTGGGGGGATGGCACGCAATGTCGTTGGGTAAAGTGCGAACCACGCAAGACGGGAGTCACGCGAAAAACGTGTTGACTGGCGTCTGGATAGGGGGTGCGCAGCCCCGGATGAAAAGGTGGGATCATAATAAACGCAGTGGCGCCCCGCGACCCAACGCGCCTACCGCAACGTGCTAATACCCCTTTATGTCTCGTCTTGGATGACAAGTTTTTCAAACTGCGCGGACACACAGGTAGAAAAAAAAAACGGAAATGACATAAATCAACAGAGAATATGTAAAAAATTAGGTGGGTTTTTTTGTCAGTTTTTTTTTTTGAAACCCGCTTACAATAATTCTTGAATTTCTATTGCTTTAAAAGTAAAAAATATAAATTTTAGAGAAATATATAATCTAATAATATTATTCGAATTACCTGCATTTTGTATTCAATTTCATCGCTAGAGAATAACTCTTGTTTCAAGGCGAAATCTCCGAGAATATATCTACTTACGGAGTTCTGAAAACTTGTTATAATTTGTATTATATCTAGCTAAAAAATAGCAGTAATAAAATATGTGATAGAGAGGCTAAACATTTTCTTTCTAGACGCTACATTTAATACAAATTGTTTATAAAACAAGTTTGGATATCATATAACCCAGTGTTTCTTCCAGACTTTTTTCTCCGGGGGGGGGGGGGGGGGCGGTCAACATTTTTCGGGGGGTCGGACACCAGAGAAAGTGTATGTTTACAATATAAATTCCTTCTCGTTGGGGGGGGGGGGGGCGGTAGACTTTCTTCGGGCCGAAGAGATGCATGGAAGAAACTCTGAATATAACCTTTGAATTTGATTAGTGAATGTTTTGTTTTAAAATATCGGTTGAGAAGATAAGAACTGGCCAGCGCAATACACCATCTTTGTTGCCAACATCAATTGGCATCGATTGTCTAAAAATATTCCACGGAGAATTTCCGATTGATGTACATATTTATGGGCCATCGTTACGACAGTAAAAGGAGTATAGTAACCCTGTAGATGTTCATCAAAAAGGCAGTTGAAGAAGAGTTAACCTCTTTCAATGGTCTTAGCTTAACAAAGACTATATTTTATATAATGAAAAACCTGTTGCGATTTAAACAATTTTTTAAAATATCAATTATGTGAGGCTTGGGACTATGTTCACATACGATTGGTGTGTTAACTACATCCTCTACATATGACAAACATGTCAAGAACATACACTTCTAGTCATTAGACCATACGCTTTGTGTTTGATACTATAACTTAAGAGTTGACGTCACGCCTCTTTATGAGGCAGGTGCTTTGAATCCAGGGGCGTTGACAATAGGACATGTGACGTAAACACACCAATAGGATATCAGTATATTTTAACTACTCAACTCTCTAATGGACGGGGTGCGATCAGTGTATGTGTGTGCGTGTGTGTGTATGTACACCACAAACACCACCCTTGAATCCAAGTTCTCTGTATGTGGCCCTACGCCTTCTATCACCAGTACACCGACGCTCTTGTTACCTTCACTAACAACACGAGTAGCAACTAGTCTTTCCTCTGATATGGGGCCAGACCTGTGGTTGGGGTGTCGAAGTAGAATTGGTACTTCTAATCCAAAACCTATACTTATCTGTCTGTGTGATAGCTTTAATTCGACCTTTCGACATTGTTCTAAACACCAATAGGGCCTATTGAATCTACAAAGAAATAAAAAAAAAAACAAAAAAAAACCGACATCCTTAGATAGAACCCCCCCCCCCCCCCCCCATGATTGAATTGACAGTTGCACACAGATACGGGAAGGTCGACTTTCACATTTATTACAAAATCAAACGTTGCGCATGTCACGTGGCATCTCATCCAATGGGTGAGTTCGGGGAGACTTGTTTGAACTGATCGCAGCCAATCAATTTTCATTAATTAACTCCTTGATTAAATTAATGTCACACAGGCAAGAAATTAGCGGGCTCGATAGCTAGATGAAAGTAATACATTTGCGATAAAACACCACAATTTGTGGTCGGCCACACTGACGCGTTTGTCATTTTCGTCTTTGAAATCGGGACGGTTAAAAACATGCACGGATAAAATGAGATTTACAGTATCTGTTTTTTTTTTCGCTTTCTCTGTCAGTGTTGGTCCTAATGAAGTGTTTGTCCCATCCATCGTCCGCGAGGTTGAGAAATTACGGTTTGTCGCCAAATTACCTTCGATTGGCTTGTGGCTGTGGCTGTGGACCTGACGCCACACGCGAGAGATAAGCACAGCTCAAGTGTTTGGGTTTCAGGGCTTTTCTGTTTGCTCGCTGCCAGAACTGGAGCCCTCTGGCGAGCGAAACGTGAGCCCCGAGGGCAAAGATAGCCTTAACGTATTGATGAAACGATCGGTCAATTTTCCTTTCGGTGTTTTTTTTTTCTTTCTAAAACCACAACTGTTTAGCACCGCGGACCGTTTAGAAGAACAGACTCGCTCTATTTGAACGAGAAAACGAAAACTTAACGGCGATTAGCGGACGCGTTTTCGTTTCAAAAAATCGTTTTTTTGACAGATGTTCGTGACAAAGTGAGGCATTTGCACACGCGGGGAGGGAGATAAGGTGACGGGGGTCTGTTCTGAAAGTTGAATCAGACAGGAGAGAGATGGAAGACGAAAGATTAGCCGGACAATGGGAGCTGCTACTGGCTGTGTGGATGTGGTTACACGGTTTTTTTTAGAGAAGAAAGTCTGTTTTTAAAAGGGCCGTTTCTTTTGTTTTTTAAAGACACTCCTCAATATGTAGCTCAGTATTGTTGATAATAACTTATTTGTATATCACAGGGGCTCTCTGACTCCACATACACATAGATACACACACGCGCATCAATACACACATTCGCAGATATACACATACTCAACTCATACACACACACAATATATATATATATATATATATATATATATATATATATATATATATATATATATATATATATATATATATATATATATCGCGTCGGCCTTCAGAGCACAATTTTTGTGTAGGTTGCAAGTCTCTAACTAAAGAAAACAGCAATTTTTCAATTGAAATTAATTCGTGCGTAGACTATTGAATAAACAAAAAAAAAAGGATTATAAGCAGCACCATCTGTTGCCTCACCACATTCTATAGACAGGAAAACACCACCGATGTTGCGATTGAACACAATCCCATTTCTTACGCTGCTTTGGTTGCACGCCATTACAAAAACACTGCCAAGTTTTGTTACTCAGCTGTTGAACATACGAGTAGTTTCCCCTGATCTTATCACCATTTTGCAACCCTACACTTTCCTCTCGATGTACAGAAAGCGACGTGTTTAAAAAAGGTATTGTGATTGAATGCTACCACCGATTTATTCTTTGTTAAAAGCGGTCGACTCTAATATACGAATATAAGGAATGTATACCTATATGGATTTTAAGAACCAGTTTATATTACCGTCGATAACAAATGGGTGATTTTAATATACGAGTTGCAGTAAACAAATATGGTTGTTGAAATTAAAACCCGGTTAAAATCTTTCAGTTACAAAAAAAAATTGACATATTTTTTACGCAATACTAAATAAATACGCATTTAATTAATGGCGACTTGGCTGTAGAAATAATGTTTACATTCTAACTTTACATTATTGGAAATCTATTTTATACGATATATATATATATAGAAAATATTGTAATCGTCAAAAAAAAAATTGAGATTTTTACAAATCTCGACGTTTTACACCTCCTTGAGTCGAAAAACATAATATTGCAATTTTGTTCATATGCCTGTGTGTGTATGTATGTGTGTATGTGTGTCTGTAAACACGATAACTTGAACACCGTACAGTTAGGTTGATGAAATTTCACATATAAGTATTATATCAAATTTGTAGTTCTGTATCAACTTTTCAGCGATTTCCGGTAACCGAAAGTGGAACTTATTTTACTTTGAATTTTTCAAAAGCCTGTAACTTAAGTACTGTTTCAGATAGATGAACGAAATTTCATTTACAACGAAAAGATCCACTTTTCTGCCTTGTATAATTTTGAATAATATCCGTTGACCGGAAGTAGTAATTTTCGCTATTTCCGATTTCTCAAAAAAGGCATTTTTTTGCACGATTACAAGGTTTTCTCTATACTTAGTATATACGAGAAAGTAAAAAGCGACTGCTTAATAAATTACAAAATAAAATAATAAAAAAAAACAAGCACGCCATTACACGATTTAAAATATTTTCAGTAATAGATGAAAGAAATGTTTTAGAATTAGAAACGCGCTAACCAATTCTGCATTAATGCAGTCCCCCGAAGAATGTGTCGACATACAATAGAACAGCACATTAACATATATTTTGAAAGACCAGAGAATGGGTGTTTAAATATAGACCAGCAGCTTCAAGTAACAGCTGCTTACCGTCCTTGATAACACGTAAATATAAACCATCACAACAACATACCAATGATGTAACTCTACATAATATAACGATATAAAAATAAATCGAATATCTTTAGTGATTTGTATTTGGCTACAAATAAATTATATCTTTATTATTTTCATTGGCCTCAGTTTAGAAAACTATGTTCACCTATGTAAGAAACTTTAAAAAATTCTTTTCATGAATTAGAATTGAATTTCGAATTAGAAAATTTGGAACGACACAAAAGCATTAGAGTATCCGATTTTGTGGCGTTATTCGCGGCTACAGACGTGTTATGTAAATAGAAAGAAATTTAAAACGTCGGGACCCACGCACATGTTTACATAATGACTAATGTAGAACTTTTGTGAGGTGCGATTACTGGGCAGCGTGTTCAACCAAGCGATATATAATCCAATTACAAGTAAATGCACATTTAGATTAGGCCTGATAAGTATTGGTCCGTTTAGCGAGCAATTTTTTGAACAGTCAACGTTAGTAGATTCTTGGGGAAACGTTTAGATTTTAGAAGTCGCTGTGAATTAGACTTTAGTGTCGGGGTCTGTAGTCTTAGATCATTTGAGTTGGTTCTGTCGTCATGGCGTCAGTTGGAGTCTGTCTTGCTTTAGGATTGGTTCTGATTGCTGGTACCAAACTCAGCACTGCACAGAAATGCACACACCAAGATGGAAAACAGTTCCAGGTAAATATTGTTGGTATATTAGCTGGTTCGGTGTTTGTTTTCAGTGCAGGCCAATGTTGGGTGTGAAGTCTTATTTCTAGGATGAATGAGTGGACACATTGACAAATGACAAACCTTTTTGCCTATTGTATGTTGTATTCACGAATATTTGTTGAAGATAAGAATAGATGGTCCATAAAATTTACTGACTTTGTAAACTAATATATTAAAAGATATTTAGTTTCAATTTCCACAGAGAAAATATTTAGAGTATTGTGAACATTAATCTCACAGTGCCTATCATATCTCATCTATTCATCTGTTTCAAAGACTTAGGCATATGAAGGGATTGTGTTGTCAGCACTATGTCCAGCTTTCCCTAACATGAGTTAGGTACCCACCGGAGATAGGTGGACGCAGGGACGTTCAAGTTACTTGAACCAGGATTCAAACAGTTCATATAATTTACATTACAATCAATTAGAACTTTCAAAAGTGTGATGGATAACTTTTAATTTAAAAAAAATAGTGACCTTAATATATAAATGAATAATTGGAACCTGGTAGAAACGTAACCATCAAAAGGAAAGAGGAAGCGTGGCTAAGGTGAAGCGAAATTAATTGACTAGATACATCAGCTGAATTTATGTAACCGGAAGACTTTGATATATGAGACTGGAACTCGGATAGGTAGGCGAGATTTGATGTTCAGCTACATAGCGCCATTGGATTTCAGATGATAATGTTAACATAACAAAAAACACCAGCACGGAAATGCATAGAAGAACGTTACAAGCAAAAAATAGACTAGGGTAAATGTTCTTATCACTTAAAACCACAATGGATTATAGTAGGTTTATCCTCGAGATAATCAAAGTGGCTTTGGTATTACTAAAGCTGTGGGCTGGGCTTGTCAATCGGTCATCTATTTGTCATATGACCTTTCATCTTTTCTTCCCTTGACCTCACACACCAGGTAGGTCATCACTACTTCCCTGACCTCTGCACGGATTGTTTCTGTGAGCCCCCGGGCATGTATACCTGTACCACGATAGAATGTCCAGTGTTGCTGTGTGTGGACAGCGTCCAGCTGGAGAATGAGTGTTGTCCTTCCTGTGTCAATGGTGAGTGGACTAGACAGGGGAGATTGATTCAATAGAAAGTACTCACACACACATCCACACCTCTCACACCAACCCACACACCCACACATCCATATCCACCCACACATCAACCTACACATTTGGCTAAGTACTGTGTTGACCGTTAATAAATTTACGTAATCAACATCAGTTCTATTATACAGTAGTATATAGTATACAGTATTATCTATTATGCAAGATTCTGTCATATCACATACAACATATTCCTACCAACAGATCAACTGTGAACGATCACATACAGACATTGCGTTAGTCCAAAATCTATTGTAGATCTATATACACATCTAAAAAAAAAACTACATTCTTTATCATATCTTAAATCTTCTTATGTTGTATATAACGGGTTTGTAAGAATGATTGAAGGTTTAGCATCAAACAGTTCAGAAAAAAGAAGTTGACCTCAGCTACCTTATGTTACAGGTCCAAGTTGTTCCACGGCAAGCGGTGTGGTCATCCCTCTAGGGCTCCAGGTGAAGATCAACAACGGCTCTACCTGTCATTGTGTGCCAGACCTGCAGGAAGGCAGCGAGCATGCCTTCACGGCACAGTGTTCAGGTACTGGGGAGTACAATAGACATAGACATTTTATATACCGCGGGAGCCGGACGTATTGGGTATAACGTGACTCTACCACTGGTGAATATTACGCAATACCCGGATTCTTTTGGGATGGTCCTAGACTGATGAATTACGAAACTAAAAAGATTACCAGAAAACAAAAACTCTTCGTGGACTCGTATCTAATGTCTAGGGTAAAAACACACGCGAAGACCTTCTGCAACTAATAATACTTTTAATCAATCTAAAAATATCTAAAATGCAACCAAGTCTAAATAATAAAATACTATGCACTAAAATATACAATGATGAAAAACCCAACTTACAATTTCTGGAATAACACACTGAAACTACTAACACTGGATAAGGTACCTAAGTTATCACCACAACCTACACACTATTAAAATGAGACACAGAAAAATACTGAATACACTGGGAACTTAGAGATAATTACTGCTTAAATTAGAAAATGTATCATGGCGTCGTACGTGGCTCTCTCTGTCTGTGGGTGTCTAGTGGGCTCCTCGTGCTGGGAAAATTCCTCCTTTTTATACTACTCTAAAATTATGGGATGTCGACCCCAATGTGAAGGACCATAGGTGGATGGAGCCAAAGCACGAGCCACACGAACTCAGTGGTGAATACTATCAAATGAGTGTGATGGAAAATTTCTATAGTTTAAACCACAGATAATTCAAGGCCATTTAAAATATTAATAAAATAAAATTATAAAAAAAGAAGACCTAAGTAGGTCACATGGGGAATACAACAGCATAGACATTTTATACACATCATAGCACAAAACACACATTCACATGACATCACTTTCAAAAACCACACGGTGCATGCAGTCAGTTTCAAATAGTCAATGTAAACTTTGTCAGACATATAAATTCTACTAAGTCACACTTAATACTTAAAGTAATATATAATACATGTACTTAAACTATAACATAACACATGCACTGAAAGTTACATCAGACGCACCAAGGGGTGGACTGGTCCACCGGTCTACCTGGTAAAACCACGATGGAACAACAGGAAAAAAAAACCCGTGGGTCTTCAGAAACGGCGCTATAATATGTTTATTAGTGCTTTAATTTAAAAAACAAATTTTATTGGGTATTTCTTTATTTTACCATATCTTTTTCTTTATGCCAAGGCGTAAAATTCATTTGAAGGGAATGGGACAAAATGCACAATGCAAACTGAAATCTGGAGCTGTGGGCTTCTTTCGAACTTTGCCGGTCTATCCTCTTTGATAAAGCGAGTTCATCCAGAGGCGTAGCGACCCTTCCCGGTGCCCGGTGACAAACTTTCGATTTGCACCCCCCCTCGAACTTTCGATTTACACATCCCCCCCCCCCTCAAAATTTCAATTTGTTTTTCCAACCCATTTTGGCGCCCCCTAAGGTCAGCGCCCGGGGACATATGTCCCCCCCCCCCCGCCTCCCCCCTCGCTACGCCTCTGAGTTCATCCATCAATTCACCTCTAGTACACACTAGAAGACTGGCAGATGTCAATAATTTCTATAGAATAATGTACGCTAACATCGCCGATTTGAGTTCTAGCCTTACTGACACCTGATTGCTTTGTATTTAAGTTCACATGCTGGCTATATTTGTACAAAGTCTACCAACATTTTCTCCTTTTTCCCTCCTCAGTCAACAGAGGCTGAAAGATTTCTTCCAGACAAATATACCAAAGGCTGAGGTTTCAGTACTCTATGTTGGATTTTTGTAGACACGTTTAGACATAGCATTACAACTTGTTCAGCTTTTTCTGTTTGTCTCACTTATACCACTTGTTATACAATAATGGACATATGATGTATTTTTTCCATTGAAACTGTAATATGAAATAAAATATCTTTTCACATACTTTGTCATCTTATTTTTTCAAATCTACCTAAACGTCAAACCATTCCTCCCCCAACGATTTCAGAAAAAGTAACATTCATCATGATTATAATTTATGCTGGTTAACATTTTTCGATGATAGACAACAAATGGTATTCAAAGTAGGCAACAGTTTTGATTTTGTGCATTAACAAAAATATTAAAGCCTTTTAGATGGGAAATAAGTCGTACACGCTCACAGAAGATAAAATACCGAAGCAAGTTTTGGACCCACGGGGGATGAGAAATGTAGGCTGGTCGTAACAATCGTGGATAGGGGCGGTGGAAGGTGAAGCGAGGGTTGCTGGACATACATGGTTTTAACTGAAGAGAGCCGCCTTTATAATGGTCGGGGTGAGTGGTTTAGATACAGCCTTTAGCTGCTCATACTCAACAGGATTAAGTTTGATTTGGTATCTGTTGACATCGACAAGCACACACACAAAACAAACTTTCATGTACACTTTAAAGAAAGTATTTCAAACAATGAGATAGACGGATGAAAAGCGATCGCTGTTTCAGTGTTGTTTTTTGGTTTTGTATTTCACGGTTGGAGTGTAGAAAAGATCTTAAAGTGACAAGGCAGACTGCTAAAAATAAGGATAGTAGTTGGTGCAGTTGTTTACATTTTATTAAATAAAATACTTAAAAAAAACTTTTTAAAAAACCACGTTTTTCTTGTGGACTAAAAAGTAGAAAATAAATTTTTCTTTTGTGCTTCCTCGAGCTGTGCAGATTCTTGTGATGACTGACAAAAAACGTGGGTACGTTCACCATCAAATTTCCCGACCCATCTGCCCGACCCACGTTTTTTGTCAGTCATCACAAGAATCTGCACAGCTCGAGGAAGCACAAAAGAAAAATTTATTTTCTACTTTTTAGTCCACAAGAAAAACGTGGTTTTTTAAAAAGTTTTTTTAAAGTATTTTATTTTCTCCTTTTAGTCCGTTGCTACACATGAAAAAACGTGGTTTTTAAAAAGTTTTTTATATAGTTTATTTTCTACTTTATCTAATCACTTGATTAAGCATGACTTGACTAAGTGTTTTTAAATACACGGACTAAAAAAATCTTGAGCGACCGATACGCTTTAAACAGAGAAAGGGTGTAATTTACGTTGCTGGCGTGGAGATCTACTCACGAATCACGTGATCAAATCTCCCATAAACAAACAAATAAACGCGAAGCTGAGTTAAGGAAAAACGTGTTTATGTGTATTTTAGCATGCCCAGCGTACCAACCGTGTCACCGTTAACAATGTGTTACCGTGTCCGTTCTCCTTTTTAGTCCGTTGCTACACATAAAAAACGTGGTTTTTTAAAAAGTTTTTTTTAAGTATTTTATTTTCTCCTTTTTAGTCCGTTGCTACACGTGAAAAACGTGGTTTTTAAAAAAGTGTTTATAAATACACGGACTAAAAATCTTGAGCGACCAGGATTCGAACCTGGGTTGTCGCGGCCACAACGCGAAGTACTAACCACTATACGATCACGGCCAGCGCGCTCACATCGATTGGGGCCGAAGTAACTGTGTCAATAGGCCTCAAGTCTTGTCGGTATCTTTAGAAATCATGTCCTCAATTTTATGGTCCTTGGGGCGTAATTAAATTAAGCTAATTACGGTCACTAATTGCTAGTTTTTATGATTGCATCTGAAATTGTTAGGCGAAAGTAGCATGCATGCCAAATTTCAGGTCTCTAGAGCAATCAGAAGTGGGCTAATTTTCGATGTCAATTTTAACAACAAACAAACAAACAAACGCGAAGCTGAGTTAAGAAAAACGTGTTAAAAAAACAGGAAGTAAGGCATTCCAGTTGTCATAAAAACTCACAAAAACACCAGGCATTTAGAATGTTAGTATTTTTCAGACCTCGACTGATTTAAAAAGAAATTGTTCGTGGTGTCTCGCATGGTCCCAATGAAGAGAATAATATATATATATATATATATATATATATATATATATATATATATATATATATATATATATATATATATATATATATATATATGTAATATAGTAGTTGTAATGGTTTTACCAAATATTATTAGGATGCTAATTCACTTTTTCTACTCAAACAATCCCTGCCATTCTACTTATATCAGCAAAAAAAAAAAAAAAAAAGAGTTGTGTGTCGTTTGTGAGGTTGAATAATAGTCCTTGTTGTGATTATGAGGCCAGCGGTCAGTTGGTACCCTTCGGGTCAGAGTTCACGCCTGCCCGTTTCTTCAGTGCAGAAGCTGTGATAGTGGTCAGCCAAAAAATTCTATTTTTGCAGAGAAGTGGTTGCACGTCTGACTAGATTCATGGAAGGCGAGGCGATTTGGTGCCGCGTTAAATGGTAAGTTCGGATCCCGTTGGGTTAAAACTGCTCTATCTTTACTTGGACTACATTCTGTATCACTCTCTGTTTACATTGTTATTTTAATAGCAACGCCTGCTTCAACGTTAACAGCGCCTGCTTCAACGTTTATTCAAACAAAACACACTTAAACTAATCATTCATGTTTTTTGACAAAACATTTCACGTTTACAAAAACTAATATTATTACACGCTAAACTAATTTCCATCACTAAATGGATAATCCCTAAAAGTGTAAGAAAAAAGCTCTAAACATAAAAACTTTGACTTAAAACATCTCTATCGGCTTCAGTCAAGCGAAACTATAACAGACGACACATTATGTAATCTGTGGGGAAAAAAACGTCAACAGCAAAAAAAAGGGGGTGGGGTGGGGGACATAATTACAATGGAATAGAGGTAAGCATTTAATGGCATTTCATTAAAACAAATTTTTCCAGGCAACTGAGTTACTTTGTTGATTCAGCTTGGTAAACAATAAAGTGAAATTTAAAATGCCATGCAAGTACCTACTATTAAGTTAAAAAAAAGTAAAATGCCTACTATTTCCGTTTACCGGAAATCGCTCATAAATTGAGAGAAAACGACACGTTTGATATTAGTTTATTACAATTATAGATGGCATTTCGTAAACTTAACTGAAACGGTACACAGACGAACGTGATTGCAAAGCTAAGCTTTTCCGGCATACGAAGAACGAAAAACGTGGGGGGAAAAATGGTCGAAATCTCAATTTCGATTTTTCAAACGCTTACATCCGTTTACGAAAAAGTAGGGAGGTTTTAAACAGCGAAAACAGTCAAAATATTTTAAAATTATTCATCTCGATTAAATTACTTACTCTTTACTCTGTATACGAGAAAGTAAAATGCAGGAGACCGCAGGAAAAATGTAGACTATAGGTAAAATTTCTTTGTCTCCTTCAAGTTAACTTTAAACAAGCTGAACTTAAGACTAGAAACAGCCACTATTCTAAGTACGCAGGGCTGTCAATAAATTATCAAGGAAGTGAAGACATGATTAACTGGGGTAAAGGCATTCACAGATCGATAAAGTAAAAAAAAAAGGTATTAATACTTTTTTCGGTCACAAATTACATCTGATTAATATTTCTTTCACCCACAAAAATAATTAAGGTTTTGAAAACCCTTTAAAAATATATCAAAATAATCATGAAAGCCGGCCATTTATCAAATTCACCTCTTTTTCAGAATTTATTAAGTTTAAAGCACAGCTTGAAGAGACATTAATTTCAAGATCCGAAGTTTATTCCGAACATTGAACATTTTGGAAAAGGGGTGGATTAATCGGAATAACAAGGCGACAAAAATGTCTCAAGAGACTTATTTTATTGAAAGTAAAATATCAACGGGGTACAATCATACCCATAAATTTTAACAATTTGTTAGTTTTTTTTTTATTTAAAAAAATTGGTTTGAAGTAGCGCTGAAATTTTTTCCCAAAATTAATTGAAGGCTTACAATCACTAAACTTACCCAGTAATATTAATATGGTATGTTAATAAATACACTAACGATCGATACACTTTTTTGTCGATTAAATCATTTACCTATTCTACAAATTTGACACGTCAAAACAATTTTTAAAGCTCAAAATTATTAAAATCTTGCTTGACTTGTTTTACTCTAAAGTAAATCCAAGTAGGCTTTTAAGAGTTTTCTAAAGGCTCTGATAAGATTTACAAAAACAACAACAAAACAACATAGCAATAACGATGATTAAGTTGGGATAAAAGTATACAATTATTTCCTTAAATCAATCCAGCCTGTACAGATCATACGTAAATCTACACTTTAAGGCTTTTTGTTGGTGTTTTAATACGTCTTATACCTCACTCAGTAAACAAGGAGGGATTAGGACGCTAATTTGATATTCCATTGATCCTTTTATCTCAGATCTTCTATATAAGCCAGTAGCCGAGCGTAGATTTGAACCACACGTTGACTGGCTTTTAACGAGCTGTGTCTATAGCTAGTGCTTATCTGATTACCTGTAGCTGTAGCCAGTGTGTTCTCTGACTAGCTGTAGCTGGTGTTTGTCTGTCTAGCTGTAACTCTGGCTGGTTTCTCTAATTAGAAGAATGACTTCTACCACCACTGTTTTCTACCTATTGACGTCATCAGTTCTAATCTACTGCTTGTCTGTGGGTGTAATCGCTGCACCTGTATCTGAAGATTGTGAAGTAAGTAAATCATTTATATTAATTAGAATAAAGTAATTAACTGATTTAAATTACCACATTTATATTAGAGTATGGAGACTGTGGTCGGATGGTAGAGCTTACGACAGCAGACTTGAAAGCTTCGAGTTCGAATCCAGGGTTCGAGTCTGTTGGAGGTCCAGGAGTCCACACTACTCTGATGGTTAACTAACTCATGTTAGGGAAACATGTTAACCAAACTATCCCTTCAAATGCCGAGGTCATTGAAACAGTTGAACTCTGCTTTATCTGTCCCATGAATCTTGGGCACCAATATCTTGGGAACGAACGGTAAAAGATTATATTAGAACATATATGGCCATTTTATATTAGAATAAAGAGTGTGTTATAGTCATATACAGTTACTTCATTTGGAATAGAAACGATGTAATTAAATGTTATTAAATGAATGCATGCTTATTAAAACATGTAAGCAGTTAGCCTACTTTAAATAACATTTGTTCAGGTATACATAACATGCTGTAATTAAATGATATAAAATTAGTGAGAACAATTTAGCAATGGATATAAAAACTATTCTAGATTTTAGAAGATAAAATAAAATGTTAAATATAACAAAACGTTTATCGCATTGCTATCTGAATAGTGTATATGGATACGTTGTTTATTCTGCACGAGAAGAAATATATACCGTTCTATTTTTTTTTTACCGTCACCTCCGTATTTGTCATACCAAATATCGATTTATTGAAGACATTAATCATATTCCGTTGAGAGAGTTTCATTTAAGAATATTTTATTGTGACGTTCCAAAATAAAAAAAAAAGAATCTATTGGATAAGCTCCCAGTAACATGTTCGCAATGAATGTAATCTGTCTGAAATCTGCTTCTATACAGACATGCCATTACAAAGACCGTTACATTTTATGTTAGCTAACAACATTGATGATGAGTATAATTTTTGTGATAGTAGAACTGGTCGAGGGAAAATTGTCACTTAAAGATCGACGCCTAAAATAACCATGCTGTCATTAATTAAAGATGGTTGAATTACATTTAGCCGCGTCTTAAGCTACATGTAGCTATTTGTAGCGTTCGTTAAAGTGCATGGTGCTATATTGTAGGGTTCGTATATTTTAAGCTACACCTAGTTATATTGTAAGGTTCCTAAAACTGTTTGTAGCTATATTGTAAGGTTCCTAAAACTGTTTGCTGCTATGTTGTAGGGTGTGAAAAACCCACGTGACCTTGACCCATGTCAGGTGTGTGAGTGTGCTGGTGACCACTATGAGTGTGAACGCGTCGACATGTGCCAGCCATTGAGGTGTGTCGACGGTGTTAAAAATGACGGAGATTGCTGCGCACACTGTCCAAATGGTGAGTTGCCTAAGTTGAAGCAGATTGTCTTAAATTTTGTTTTAAAAACATAAACCATTTATTTACAGTTGTTTTCATTTTTCTTATATATATATATATATATATATATATATATATATATATATATATATATATATATATATATATATATATGCATATATAACAATATCATACGATCATTCTCTCACTTCATCCACTCACCTCATTTATTTTAAAAAATAAGTACAATATCAACTTGAGCGTTTTCTTGTGTACATAGGTGAAAACTGTGAGAAGGATGGCGTTATAATCTCGAAGAACAGCCAGGTGTTTATCCCAGGGTACGGCGCCTGTATTTGTGTGTCGTCATCCAACTGGGGGGACGGGTTGACCGCGTTCTGTCTCCAGGAGGAAACTCCCCCCAACCTCACGTCGATGGACGAGACGACCGCTGTTTACTGAATCTTGTGTGTGAAGAAAAATAAATAAACGTCCAGTACTGATCTAAAATAGTTGAGAGCGTTTTCTGTTTTTGGTCGTTTGAGAATAAGGAATAGAATCTTATAAATGTATGCGCACACACACACACACACACGCACACACACACACACACACACACACACACACAAAGACACAGACACAGACACACACGCACACGCACGCACACCCACATCCACACACATGCACGCACACCACACACACACAGACACACACACAGACACACGGACACAATATGGACACACAGACAGACACACAGAGACACAGACACACGGACACACGGACACACAGACACATAGACACACAGGCACATAGACACACAGAAACATAGACACACGCGTTTTTTTTTAGAAATAGGAAATAGCGTAAATTAGTACTTCCGGTCAACGGAAATTACTCAAAATTTAACAGAAGGTAGAGAATTAGATTTTTTACTTACATGTGAAATTTCATTTATCTATCCTAAATAGTACTCAAGTTATAGGCTTTTGAAAAATTCAAAGTAGAAAAAGTACCACTTCCGTTTATCGGAAATCGCTCAAAAATTGATACGGATCTAGGATTTTGATAAAATACTTATATATGAAATTTCATCAACCTGGCTGTAACGGTACTCAAGTTATCGTGTTTACACACAGACAGACACACACACAGACAGACAGACACACAGACATACGGACAATATTGCAAAATTATGTTTTTCCGTATCAGTGAGGTGTAAAACGTCGAGATTTGTAAAAATCTCGTTTTTTTTTTTTGCACGATTACAAGACTTTTTTTATACTTCGTATATACGAGAAAGTAAAAATTAGTAGTTCCACATCGTCTTAGGCTTTGAAACAAAATATTTATGAGGGTCTACTATGGTTTGGTTGCACCATCTATCAAGAGGTCTAGATCTAATTTTTAAAAATACTTATATTTCAATTCTTTGAACTGTTTAAAGATAAACTTGAAATACCGTAGATTGTTTTAGAAACTTACTGCCTTCAATGTATACAGTTACATCTCTGATACATTTATACACCTGTTGAGCTGGTGTTTTTAACACGAGAACAGCCGATTTAATTCACACATTTTATATGCAGTTTTTGTAATCTATTTAAAAAAAAAACAGCAGTGATCTCCCCTAAACTTTCTCGAATATTCTTATATAACACTACGGGGGATTGAAACTCGGAATATACACATGATTTTAATTCATTTTTATAAGCTTTTATTTAACTCACTTCCTCTGTCTGTCGACAGTCTGTCGTCATTCTGTCTGTCTGTCTGTCTAGATCGAAACGTCGGAGCGAAAATTCGGACACTTCTACTTGATCGATACGATTCACAGTTGGCACGTGGGTCAAGACATGAAGACAATGCAACCTGAAATTAAATTTGACTTAATTGGATGCCTAATTATTTTTTTATGAATTAATTAAAATTTGGACCGAATTAGTAGGCATGTCTATCCAACCACACCACACGCGTCATCACGTTCAATAGCTGTGCCATCACGTTCAATGGCTGCGCCATCACGTTCAGTAGGCGCGCAATGGTTTTTAGTCATGTAACACTATTGTAAATAAAACATGTATTTTAACCAATGGTTTTACCAACCCTGCTGTTGATTTACGCTACGACAGAGCTATTTTTAGATAACATAGGGAAATTGCGCTTAAATGTCACTAGACTTTTTAATTAACTTGTTTTATGTAAAGTGACAAAAAAAAATCGGACATCAATTAATCTAGTACAAAGAAAGTCTACCGCCCCGAACGAAATGAAATTTATATAGAAAACATATAGTTTTGCCAGTGTCCGCCCCGCCCCCCCCCCCCATCCCCTACCCCCTCCGAAAATATCAAGTGCCTCCCCTTCCTCTCGAAGAATCACTGAGTAGAAGACAGCCTACTAATTTCAGAAAATGTTAATTAATTCATTAAAATTATCGAGAAATCTACCAACCTTGAAGTGACAAACAGTTCAGCCATGACGGTCATGTGATCAAGCCATTTCTAATTAGATTAAAAAGTAGATTTTCATGAATCGTCATCAAAGATGAAGGTACCTGGAAAGTTTGAACGAAATCGCTGCATTAGAAGAGGGTCAGAATTGAGTTACAAGATTCGCCACAATCAAAGAGATGGTGTGAACGAAACAAAAGCTCAAAAATATAAGACGGCATAGAAGTTGTTTATTTACAGTATTATCGTGTTACAAATAAACCACGTATTTAATCTTTGAAACATGATGTGATATGGAATAATTACAATTTATCAATTAATATAAATAAAAAAATGAAATGTTTATAACATTTTAGAATAACACTGAATTAGCTTAAAAATGAATATATATATATATATATATATATATATATATATATATATATATATATATATATATATATATATATATATATTAATATAAACACTAACAAATATTTTTTTGTAAATCAAGCTTTCTTTTAATACCTGACGGTCTATGGGGCAAGTCATCTGTTTCTATGACCTCGGCATATGAAGGGATAGTGTGGTCAGCACTATGCCCAGCTGCCTATTTTTTGCTTACGTGAGTTAGGTACCCATCAGAGCTGGGTTGACTCAGTGACATTTTATTGAGTTGAACTCGAATTAGAGTTCGAGACTTTCTGGTTAGCAGTAGTCTTGCGCTCTACTTCTATGCCACACAGTCAAGTAAACAATTTGTATTTTTCAAGAAAATTAGCCTGAGGACTAGTCCTGCGTCATACATTTACTCTTTAGAATGTGGATGATAAATGAAAAAAAAAAATCTTCTCAGAACGTGTCTGTGAGAAGTTGGCGAGGGGGGGGGGGGGGGGGGGCGGCCTGAGAAGAGAGGGAAAAGTCAGGCATGTAGTTTTATTTTTGTTGTTTAAACTGTGGTTGTGGGGTTAGTGCCGAGGTTGGTGTTTTAAGGAATTATTTGATGTTGAAACTATATTAAATCTGGCAGATTTCAGTCACACAGACCCACCTGTACGTCATTTCAGGGACTTGACACTTGAGTTTCGCCACTAACCTCAAGATTAGTGGCACTTCTAAGGGACACCACTAACCTCAAGATTAGTGGCTCTTCTAAGGGACGCCACTAACATCAAGATTAGCGGCACTTCTAAGGGACGCCACTAGCCTCAAGATTAGTGGCTCTTCTAAGGGACGCCACTAACATCAAGATTAGTGGCACTTCTAAGGGACACCACTAACCTCAAGCTTAGTGGCACTTCTAAGGGACACCACTAACCTCAAGATTAGTGGCACTTCTAAGGGACACCACTAACCTCAAGCTTAGTGGCACTTCTAAGGGACACCACTAACCTCAAGATTAGTGGCACTTCTAAGGGACGCCACTGAAGTCAAATTGCTGTTATAAAGTAAGTTGCTTGCTCGCACACATATGCGTAAACATAGCTGTACATAAACATACAGGTCATACTGTAGTTGGCTTATCTTGTACACAAAGATGTACAAGTTATGAACCCAGTTATGAAACAAGAGAAAGTTACAAGGATGTATTTAGTCTCTTATTCAAATCACAAATGTTACATTTTAATTATATTATAATTAAACTATAAAAATTTAATTTAGAAAGAAATTCTTGTCTTTAATTTACATCAAAGTTTTTACTAATTTTTAGATTTTAAATACAATAGTTATAAAATTATTTGAAGTAAATATCAATAAACATCAAATACAATTTGAAAACTGAAAAGAAAAATCCAAAAAGAAAGGGAAAAAAATATTGAATTTGATAACTGAAAATTAAAAATTACATCCTAGGAAAACTTTAATATTTGACAGGTTGTCATTATGTCTATGCATTAAACCGCTTAGTGTGATTAGTAAAGGATTAAATATTTAATTTGTAAGTTGAATTCCCATTTTTATAACCGTTGGCGGAATATAAAGATGCAAAATATTTCTTTGTAGGCAATCTGGAGCTGACTGCTGTCCTGTAGCTGACTGCTCTCCTGTAGCTGACTGCTGTCCTGTAGCTGACTGCTGTCCCCGGAACTGACTACGACCTAACCACAGTTGGTCTGTATCACGCTGTATCAGGACCTGTCATTCAACAGACTACACCAATGGCTATCACTGCCAGTATAACCATCGTGGCCATCTCATCTCTCCTGATGTCTTGTGTCTCAGTGAATGGAATGGCTCTTCCATCAGACGACGGATACATTGTAAATATTAATGTCTTGATGAAACTGTTTCACAATTTAATTGTAAATAATAATGGCTTTATGAAACTGTTTCATAATTTAACTGTGAAATATTATGGCTTTATGAAACGGTTTCATAATTCAACAGTATATATTATGGCTTTATGAAACGGTTTCATAATTTAACTGTAAATATTAATTGCTTTATGAAACGGTTTCATAATTTAACTGTAAATATTATGGCTTTATGAAACGGTTTCATAATTTAACTGTAAATATTATGGCTTTATGAAACTGTTTTATAATGTAATTGTAAATATTAATGGCTTTATGAAACTGTTTCATAATTTAACTGTAAATATTATGGCTTTATGAAACTGTTTCATAATTTAATTGTAAATATTTATGGCTTTTTGAAACGGATTCATAATTTAACTTTAAATATTATGGCTTTTTGAAACTGTTTCATAATTTAATTGTAAATATTAATGGCCCTTATGAAACTGTTTCATAACTTAACTGTAAATATTGATGGCTTTATGAAATTGTTTCATAATTTAACTGTAAATATTATTGGCTTAAAAAAGCATTTTATAATTTAACTGTAAATATCAATGGCTTTATAAAAGTATTTCGTAATTTAACTGTAAATATTAATGACTTTATGAAAGTGTTTTATAATTTAACTGTAAATACAAAAACATGTGTAAGAACAATTAAGATCCAGCCCCTAACCTTTGTAGAATCTTGCCAACCCTCCTGTCGACGAGCCTTGTGTGGATTGTGATTATTACGGTGTCCCCTTTAAATGCGAGTACGTCGAATGCGCACAAATCGAAGGCTGTGTCATACCTAAAGGGGAGTGCTGCCCTCGCTGTGAGAGAGGTGAGTCTTTCAGTGTTGGGGTTAGCAAGTAATATAAATGTAAGTCTTTCAGTGTTTGGGGTTAGCAAGTAATATAAATGTAAGTCTTTCAGTGTTTGGGGTTAGCAAGTAATATAAATGTAAGTCTTTCAGTGTTTGGGGTTAGCAAGTAATATAAATGTGAAACTTTCAGTGTTTGGGGTTAGCAAGTAATATAAATGTGAAACTTTCAGTGTTTGGGGTTAGCAAGTAATATAAATGTAAGTCTTTCAGTGTTTGGGGGTAGCAAGTAATATAAATGCAAGTCTTTCAGTGTTTGGGGTTAGCAAGTAATATAAATGTGAGTCTTTTACTGTTGGGGGTTAATAAGTAACATAAGCGGCCCATGAACCCATTCAGTTTGTAAGGGACGGACGAAATAACCCCCTCCCCCTCTAATTGAGTCTGCTTGCTTGACTGGCGTCCGCGATCACCTAAAGGCTATTTATACTTGAAGCAACAACAAAAAAAGTACTTTTGAAAATAAAACTAACATTTTTCTCAAAGACTGTCGAAATGAAAAATCTTAACGTAGTGGTCAAAGTACGCCAGTCCTAAATTTAATTCCCGCATTTAGTTTTTCATAATAGAATTCTTGGTCATACCCTCCAAAATTGAGTTTATTTAATTATTTTAACTAATTTTCTAGAAGGATTTTGTTTCGATTTCACACCAATTCAGTTTGTCATCATGTACTATCATAACAGAAATCTTGATCATTCAGCTACCGACACGATTTTGATATTTCTAATTACAGTTGGCAAATACTGTGAGGTAGATGGCATCGTTATTCCGATGTACGAATATGCGGCGTTCCCGAACTACACGGTCTGTCTGTGTGAAAATGCAGGAGATACTGAAGACAATGCGATACTGTCGGCTTATTGTTTCCTAAATGAACCCCTGAATAGAGTTACATATGAAGAGTACAATTGGTTTGAACATGTTCCCGACTCAGATACATGTGGAACAGTGGACGGCTACAGCGTGAAGATTATGGGGGAAACTTTGTCCTTCCCGGATGGCCGCCAGTGTTGGTGTGAGTTTGCATTTGACGGATACGTACTTGAGTGTTCGCCACCGACAAAGTCGTTGATTAAGTCTAACTTAGAAACACTGTTAACAACACCAGCAGGTAAACCAGCTGAAATAGTATTAGACACACCATCTGAAACACTGTCTAAAACACCAACTGAAACTGAAACACCATTAAAAACAACATCAGCAACCCCACAAGATTCAACAAAGATGGTTCTGGAATCTACCTAAGGCTCAGCGTACCCTGAGTGTGGTCAACTAGAAAATCAAGCTCTGATTTAATTGTCGAGTTGACAAATCATTATTAACACAAGCTGGAGCTTTGAATTATTCTTGTATTTTAACTGCAATAAACATTAAACATAAATTAGGTATATTTAGTTTTTACCTTTTTATGTTGAGTGCCGCACAATAGGGTTTCTAATTTTGTTTAAACGTCTTTTAATAACAGAAATATTTTTAATGAGCTGACCCGCGACGTAGCATAAGTCGCTATTTAGTTGTTTTATTTCCATTTTTTTTTCATATTTTGTGAATTCGACACTACCAATGCTGCGACTGAAAATAGTTTGCTTTAAAACACTATCAGCAGCTAGTGAAAGACGATTATCCTCACCCTCACCTAACGCTCCTCTCCCCCCCCCCCCCCCTCCCCCCCACCTCCGTGAAAGCAGCCGTCTGTGACGACAGTTTACAATGAAAAGAGCAAGCAAAACATGTTATTATCTCTCCTTGGTTACAAATCGTTTAAAAACTAAATTATCTGTCCCTAATAGCCGTCACTACGATTGTAAACAGCTCACCAGACTGGCGGGGGTAGGGGTGCTAGTGATATGGTCTGTTGAGCTTACGTCTTGGTGTCTCGCATGGTCCCAATGAAGAGAATTATATATATAGATAATCAGACGGTCGTAAGATAGTTAAGACTGTCACTACTAGACGGTCGTAAGATATGTGAGAGTTTCACTACCAGAGGGTTGTAAGATAGGTGAGACTGTCAGACGGTCGTAAGATAGGTGAGACTGTCAGACGGTCGAAAGATAGGTGAGACTGTCACTACCAGAGGGTTGTAAGATAGGTGAGACTGCCAGACAGTCGTAAGATAGGTGAGACTGTTAGACGGTCGTAAGATAGGTGAGACTGTTAGACGGTCGAAAGATAGGTGAGACTGTCACTACCAGAGGGTTGTAAGATAGGTGAGACTGCCAGACAGTCGTAAGATAGGTGAGACTGTTAGACGGTCGTAAGATAGGTGAGACTGTTAGACGGTCGTAAGATAGGTGAGACTGTTAGACGGTCGTAAGATAGGTGAGACTGTTAGACGGTCGTAAGATAGGTGAGACTGTCACTACCAGAGGGTTGTAAGATAGGTGAGACTGCCAGACAGTCGTAAGATAGGTGAGACTGTTAGACGGTCGTAAGATAGGTGAGACTGTTAGACGGTCGTAAGATAGGTGAGACTGTTAGACGGTCGTAAGATAGGTGAGACTGTCACTACCAGAGGGTTGTAAGATAGGTGAGACTGCCAGACAGTCGTAAGATAGGTGAGACTGTTAGACGGTCGTAAGATAGGTGAGACTGTTAGACGGTCGTAAGATAGGTGAGACTGTCAGACGGTCGTAAGATAGGTGAGACTGTCACTACCAGAGGGTTGTAAGATAGGTGAGACTGTCACTACCAGAGGGTTGTAAGATAGGTGAGACTGTCAGACGGTCGTAAGACAGGTGAGACTGTCATTACTAGACGGTCGTAAGATAGGTGAGACTGTCAGACGGTCGTAAGATAGGTGAGACTGTCAGACGGTCGTAAGATAGGTGAGACTGTCACTACCAGAGGGTTGTAAGACATAGTTGAAGTTTGTGTGGCTAATCTGTTCGTGTTACAAGGCCAAGGCACACTGAAGATGTAAAAGAAAAAAAAAACGAAGTTTACTGTAGTTAAAGAACAAGGCAGCAAACGTTAAATACCTGGCTTACTCACTACGGAGTTAAACACATAGTTGAACACACAGCTGAATACACACTGAACACACAATTGAACACAAAGCTGAACAAATAGCTGCGCACATAGACTGAACACACGGCTGAACACACAATTGAACACACAGCTGAATAGAGCTATTCCATACGTAATGTGCGCTACCTGATGAAAAAGAAAAAGCATAATTGACTATCAGACAAAAAACAAATTATAATTAATTTGAAAAAAAAATTCATAAAAATTTGAAAAATAATTACGTAAGAGTTATTTAAATTTAACCGCCTGGGTGACCTTTCATAACATGCATCAACATTAACCTTTGATTCTAGGCAGGTTTGTTTACGTCCAAGTTTAAACCCTACACAAAGGTCAGTTGAGTGTGAAATTAACAACACGGCATTAGCAATCCTGTGTTTATAATATAAAGTCGAACACTATATAAACAAGAATTTACGGATTTAGTTCTATTACAATCTAGCTGTATTCTGACGGAGATTTACTGCCGTGGCGGTGCCTGTTATTTTAATGCCTACAGAAATGGCCATCTTTTCAAATATCTTCATAGTAACCATCTTATCTTTACTGATATCATGGGTTTCAGTCGATGGAATGTCTCTTCCACCAGACGATGGATGTAGGGTAAGTATTTATGTTTCTACATAAAGTATTTCATGTTTGTAATAAGTTTTTGTCGTAATATATCAGAACTGTGTAATGTCTAAACTCAACCACCTAATGTTGTAGGGTCTGACGAACCCCCATGAAGGGAACCCTTGCTTGAAGTGTGATTGTTACGTGGACCACTACGATTGTCACCTGATAGAATGCGCTAGAGTATATGGGTGTGGAATTCCTGAAGGCGAGTGTTGTTCCAGCTGCGAGAGAGGTGAGTCTGTCACAGGTGTTAGGTGAGTCTGTCACAGGTGTTGTGTTAGGTGAGTGTCACAGGTGTTGTGTTAGGTGAGTGTCACAGGTGTTAGGTGAGTGTCACAGGTGTTAGGTGAGTCTGTCACAGGTGTTGTGTTAGGTGAGTGTCACAGGTGTTGTGTTAGGTGAGTGTCACAGGTGTTGTGTTAGGTGAGTGTCACAGGTGTTAGGTGAGTGTCACAGGTGTTAGGTGAGTGTCACAGGTGTTAGGTGAGTGTCACAGGTGTTAGGTGAGTGTCACAGGTGTTAGGTGAGTGTCACAGGTGTTAGGTGAGTCTGTCACAGGTGTTGTGTTAGGTGAGTCTGTCACAGGTGTTAGGTGAGTCTGTCACAGGTGTTGTGTTAGGTGAGTCTGTCACAGGTGTTAGGTGAGTCTGTCACAGGTGTTGTGTTAGGTGAGTGTCACAGGTGTTGTGTTAGGTGAGTGTCACAGGTGTTGTGTTAGGTGAGTGTCACAGGTGTTAGGTGAGTGTCACAGGTGTTAGGTGAGTGTCACAGGTGTTAGGTGAGTGTCACAGGTGTTAGGTGAGTCTGTCACAGGTGTTGTGTTAGGTGAGTCTGTCACAGGTGTTAGGTGAGTCTGTCACAGGTGTTGTGTTAGGTGAGTCTGTCACAGATGTTAGGTGAGTGTCACAGGTGTTAGGTGAATGTCACAGGTGTTAGGTGAGTGTCACAGGTGTTAGGTGAGTGTCACAGGTGTTAGGTGAGTGTCACAGGTGTTAGGTGAGTCTGTCACAGGTGTTAGGTGAGTCTGTCACAGGTGTTGTGTTAGGTGAATCTGTCACAGGTGTTGTGTTAGGTGAGTCTGTCACAGGTGTTAGGTGAGTCTGTCACAGGTGTTGTGTTAGGTGAGTCTGTCACAGGTGTTAGGTGAGTGTCACAGGTGTTAGGTGAGTGTCACAGGTGTTAGGTGAGTGTCACAGGTGTTAGGTGAGTGTCACAGGTGTTAGGTGAGTGTCACAGGTGTTAGGTGAGTGTCACAGGTGTTAGGTGAGTCTGTCACAGGTGTTGTGTTAGGTGAGTCTGTCAGTGAGTCTGTCACAGGTGTTAGGTGAGTCTGTCAGTGAGTCTGTCACAGGTGTTAGGTGAGTCTGTCAGTGAGTCTGTCACAGGTGTTAGGTGAGTCTGTCAGTGAGTCTGTCAGTGAGTCTGTCGCAGGTGTTGTGTTAGGTGAGTCTGTCAGTGAGTCTGTCACAGGTGTTAGGTGAGTCTGTCAGTGAGTCTGTCACAGGTGTTAGGTGAGTCTGTCAGTGAGTCTGTCAGTGAGTCTGTCACAGGTGTTAGGTGAGTCTGTCAGTGAGTCTGTCACAGGTGTTAGGTGAGTCTGTCACAGGTGTTATGTTAGGTGAGTCTGTCACAGGTGTGAGGTGAGTCTGTCACCTTGTTGTGTTAGATGAATCTGTCACAAATGATGTGATAGGTGAGTCTGCGACAGGTGTTGGGTGAGTTTGTCACAGGTGTTGTGTAAGGCGAGTCTGTCACAGGTGTTAGGCGAGTCTGTCACAGGTGTTAGGCGAGTCTGTCACAGGTGTTAGGCGAGTCTGTCACAGGTGTTAGGCGAGTCTGTCACAGGTGTTGTGTGAGTCTGTCACAGGTGTTGTGTGAGTCTGTCACAGGTGTTGTGTGAGTCTGTCACAGGTGTTTTGTTAGTTGAGTCAGTCACAGGTGTTGAATTAGGTGAGTCTGCCACAGGTGTCGAATCCAACCAATCAAATCTCTGTAGTGCTGATTATGATTTCATTACATCTTGTATAAATTGTAACATTTGTTTCATTACATCTTATATACCTTGTCAGTTGTGTTCAATGAGTTGCAACATTGATAATTTTTTATTAGTTTTTCGTTTGAATATTTAACTAGATTATCATCACTCTCAGGCTTAATTTTTCTCTCTTCTTCTTGCTGTCACTCCACAATAACATCTCAGCCATGCACTAACAACAAGTTGCATTCTAATTTCAGTTGGGGACTACTGTGAAGTCAACGGTCAAGTTATTCCGCTAGGTTCCACAGCGGAGTTCAAGAACTACACCTATTGTGACTGTCTCAAAGTTGACAATCTTGGAACTAACAAGACACTGTATGCTAACTGTTATGAAGATCGTCTCACATCTTCGAATTCAGATGAAAGTAAAAACATAGATCCTTTCGAAAGATACGAAAACGTCGATACGTGTGAATTTGAAGATGGCCGAAGAATGAAGTTGACTGAGACTCTGGACCTACCGGATGGCAGAGAGTGTAGGTGTGTGATAGAAACTGATGCCTTTGTTGGTAGATGCTACAGCCCTTCAGGGTGGTTGGCCTGGTTGCAAGACTATTCATGGTAAACACAAACGGAGTCATCATGAACAGTTGAGTCACCAAATCATAACTAGAGAACACTAAAGGAGTCACCTTTAAAGTCACCAGTAGACTAATCAAAACCACTTTGTAATCGTCTTCAGAAGTTGAACATACACTGTCCACATAATCTCTAATTCTTTGACATATCTGTTGCTCGATAATAAAGTTTAAAAAATGATTTAGATTCTATGTGCAGTGTTTTTTTTTTCTTCTAATTATTAGACACGGTCCGGTCGTGTGATATTGGTGGTTTTTTTGGTGGTTATATTGGTGGTTATGTTGGTGGTTATATTAGTGGTTATATTAGTGGTTATATTAGTGGTTTTATTGGTGGTTATGTTGGTGCTTATATTGGTAGTTATATTGGGGGTTATGTTGGTGGTTATGTTGGTGGTTATATTGGTGGTTATATTAGTGGTTATATTGGTGGTTATATTGGTGGTTATATTGGTGGTTATATTGGTGGTTATATTGGTGGTTATATTGGTGGTTATATTGGTGGTTATATTAGTGGTTATATTGGTGGTTATATATGTAGTTATATTTGTGGTTTTGTTGATGATTATATCGGGGTTATATTGGTGGTTATATTTGTGGTTAGCAAATAATGTCAATATATGCCGGTTATATGTCCATATGGCATTGAAATAGGCCATGGAGCTGTTTACTACATTGCGACCCAATCTTTAGCCGAACTTTGTTTAAACACGCCAGTCTATATATTGCTAGACACATCATCAACACTGAAGTAGCTGCCAGCTACTGAAGGTATATGGCGTGATCTTAAACGTTGTCTAATGTTGGTTATAGTTATAATACACACTTAATAACACTCAAATGATGTTATAGTGCTTTTGTCGTCCAATATCGAGAATAATCAAACGTATAGGGAAGAGAAAAATCCAAATAACATTTTCTAACAACATATTCAATTTTTTTCATCGTCTAAGAAAATTCATTAACAAATTTTATCTTCTAAATTAAATAAAATCATAATACAAGTTGTATCATCTAAGTAACATCAGTTGCAATTTTTATCGGCTAAATAATATCAAATGAAATACATTTTTATCAGCTAAAAAACCATATACCGTTTTTATCCACTAAACAACATCATTTATAATAGTCTATCTCCTATACAAATCAGCATTGAAATTAGTCAACTTCCTCATTGTTTTTACAACCCTCTGAAGAATTTAACGACATAATTGCTAGTTATTTACAACCATGTTTAGGAAAAAACAGCACTTGAAATAACTAGTTAAGTAGTTTCAGGATCTAGTTTACCTTTGTAAAAGAACGTAGACTTCCTGATAAACACACTTACAAACGAAATAAATCTTGATACTTATGATAACACAAAGACAATTTTACAACCCGAAACTAAATATTTATCAGCATGTAAAAGGTGTCGACAAAGATGTACTATAAAAGCTTGATTTGATGTTGTGATTCACTAGCTGATGATATTAATTCAAACAAGACAGCAACTTCTGCCTACTGCCGTTATTTTCTCAGTAAAGACTGACTAGGATGGGATTTCAAAAGATGCTCGTAGTGTTCTCAGTTCTGTATGTCGTCACTTCCGCCGCCGTGTTGCCTAGCAACACTACCGCTACAAAGACAACTAATACAAATCAAGTGCTAGCCAAAAAAAGCGAGAGGTAACTGTGAGGTAAGCTCATTGAAATGCAGTAATAGTTAAGCATCTTATATTTATTTACTAACACGGTATTGTTTAAAGTTTTTTGCAGATATATGTATTAAAATTAAAAGACCAAATTAAATTTGTTTCTACAAAGAAACCGGAATGAGATTACTAAAAACCAAGATTAAAAGAAACAACAATATCAACCATATAGTCTAAAAGTCTATGCCTTTTAAAGGAAATACACACGAACAAGATCTCGTTTGTAAATTATATAAATATATTAAGAAATAAATAAGTACGCACTCTCACACACACACACAATTACACACACACACACACACACACACACACATATATATATATATATATATATATATATATATATATATATATATATATATATATATATATATATATATATATATATATATATATATATATTTTTTTTATCTCTGTGTGTGTGTCTTTGTGTATTATGTTCTTAGGGTCTAGTAAATCCATCGGATGCAAATCCGTGCTTAGCTTGCGAGTGTGAAGAAGGCGAGTACCGATGTGGACATTGGGACTGTGTGGAGCCGTTGTGTGTTGACAGTGTGAGCAGACCGGGCGAATGCTGCAAGGTCTGCCCTAACGGTATGTCTACTTTTATCTTATGTGAGACGGGGGGGGGGTCCTGCCATGGTGCAGATTACTGGCTTTGGTTGAAGTGTGCTAAATTACTGTGTGGCATATTCGAAATATATTATCAAGTTTGGCTGTTTGAAAATCTTATTTTAAATGTCATTCTCAGCAGGTGTATTGCCGGAAGATACTGCTATTGATTTTTATTTAAATAAACCGGGAGTGATCTCCCCAAAACTTCCTCCAATATTCTTATATAAAACAACAGGGGATGGGAACTCGGGATGAAGACATGATTTTTAATCCATTTTAAATACTTAAACTTTTTAAAAATAGATTTAAATCTTTTGGAAAAAGAATTGCACACCAAGTGAACGCCAAATTAAATGTGCATAATAGTGCGCAATATTATTAGTACTTTATAAATTTACATTCGTTTTTTGAGAAATCGGAAATAGCTTAAATTACTACTTCCGGTCGACGGAAATTACTCGGCAGAGAATTATATCTTTTACTTACGTGTGAAATTTCATTTATCTATCTGAAATAGTACTCAAGTTATAGTCTTTTGAAAAATTCGAAGTAGAAAAAGTACCACTTCCGGTTATCGCTCAAAAGTTGATACGGATCTACGATTTTGATAAAATAATTATATATAAAATTTCATCAACCTAGCTGTAACGGTACTCAAGTTATCGTGTTTACACACACACACACAGACACACGGACTGAATTGGATAATCCAGTTTTTCCTACTCCATTACGCATAAAACGCCGAAATTTTGATAAATCTGGATTTGTAATTTTTGCCCTCTATATCCCGGATGTGATGAAGGACTGAGGAGTAAAACGGTGAAAACTTTTAAAATTTCATGTGATTTTTGTGCACGATTACAATATTTTCTCTATACTCTGTATACGAGAAAGTAAAAACGTCCTAATTTTTTTTTCTTTAAAAATATTTCTTCTACCTATTTTGTTTTCTAATACCACGATTTTAAACATACAGGCGATAATTGTGAGGTCCATGGGCACGTGATTCCCGATGGTGAGAGGGTAACGATTCCAGGCGTCGGAGAGTGTCATTGTGTCAAGATGTACGGTTATATCATTTCCGCGGAGTGTGAGCCGCCGTTTCCCTGGGGTAAAGAGTACACCACTGTTGTCAAATGTTTACAATTTTACACTTGAAAATATATGTCTAGCCTTTTAAAGATTGGAAGTCTGTTCATATCAAAAGCACCAATGTGTTTTAAAGACATGGGGCCGATAGCAGAGGCGTAGCGACCTTTCCCGGCGCCCGGGGACAAAGTTTTCGATTTGCACCCCCCCCCCCCTTGACATTTCGATTTGCACTCCCCCCTCAAACTTTCGATTTGCAACCCCCCCTCGATATCTTTCAATTTATTTTTCCAACCCATTTGGGCGCCCCCTAAGGTTGGCGCCCGGGGACATATGTCCCCCCCGCCCCCGCCCCCCCCCCCTCGCTACGCTACTGGCCGATGGAACGTATAAAGGAGGCAATTTGGTAGAATTTATGTTGTGAAAATATTATTTCGGATTTCTTACCCAATATTAAAGATGACATAATTAAAAGGCGGAGTGTGTTGAAGTGTATGGAAGAGGTGGGGGGGGGGGGTGGAGGGATACACTTACTTGATTCTCTCTGATTGTAGTTGTCTCGCTGCAATACTAAAAATATTTTCACAAATTTGCTTTTATTTTAAATTTTGATGATAATTTTGAAAAAAAAAAACGAAAAAAAAAAGCCCTGAATTCTTTTAGATCTTTGATCACCATAAAAAAAAACCGGGAGTGATCTCCCCTAAACTTTCTCGAATATTCTTATATAAAATAACAGGGGATGGGAACTCGGGCTATAGACATGATTTTTAATCCATTTTAAATACTTAAAGTTTTAAAAATAGAATAAAATCTCGTAGAAAAAAGATTGCACACCAAGTGAACGCCAAATAAAAAAGTGCATAATAGTGCGCAATATTATTAGTACTTTAAAAATTTACATTAGTTTTTTGAGAAATCAGAAGTAGCGTAAATTAGTACTTCCGGGCAACGGAAATTACTCACAATTTGACAGAAGGTAGAACATTAGATCTTATACTTACATGTGAAATTTCGCTTATCTATCTGAAATAGTACTCAAGTTATAGGCTTTTGAAAAATTCAAAGTAGGAAAAGTACCACTTCCGGTTATCGGAAATCGCTCAAAAGTTGATACGGATCTACGATTTTTATAAAATACTTATATATGAAATTTCATCAACCTAGCTGTAATGGTACTCAAGTTATCGTGTTTACACACGGACAGACACACACACACACAGACATACGGACAGAATTGCAAAGCCCAGTTTTTCAGACTGGATTACGCATAAAACCTCTTAATTTTGATAAATCTGGATTGATAATTTTTGCCGATTAAAATAAGTCCTCTATACTTCGGATGTGATGAAGGACCAGAGTTTCTTCCAGGCATCTCTTCGGGGGGGCGAAGCCCCCCCGAAAAATTTTTACCGCCCCCCCCCGAACGAAATGAAATTTATATAATTTATATAGAAAATATATACTTTTAACAGTGTCCGCCCCCCCGAAGAAAGTTTACCGCCCCCCCGAAGATTTCAAGTGCCCCCCCGGAGAAAAAAGTCTGGAAGAAACACTGTGAAGGACTGAGGTGTAATACGGTGAAAATTGTTAAAATTTCAATTGATTTTTGTGCACGATTACAATACTTTCTCTATACTTCGTATATACGAGAAAGTAAAAAACAAATAGAAAATATTCCACGAATCACAAAACCTTTCTTCTAAACATCTAAATATAATTTCTAACAATTCACAAAGCATCTAACGTTAAAGATAAATATGTTTTCTAAGTAGTACATATTATTTGTTTGAATCCGACACATTTTTTTTTTACAATAATAGCAATTGTTTACTTTCTTAACGCAGGTTGACCGCGCATATGGTTGATGCAGGCGTTTCATATAGGCTGATCTTTATGATATGAGGCCGACTACTCCAAAACTTGTGTACAATAGTTTGATTTGTAACATACTAATGTTTGCTTTTTGAAATATTTCTTACAATTTATTTAATCGTTAATAGAATGTTAGTGGTTATAGAAATAACTGAATCGGAATGTTTATTAGATAATGGTTTGAGAAAAAATATTGGCCCTTTTTTTGTTAATGAATCGGCCAGAGTAGTTCCTTGCCGGAACGGCTTCATCCCACCACGCCGTGTAAATCCAGATAAAAAAAAACACGCCCACTATATCAGCATCAAATATCACACAATAAATCACGCGTACACTAAACTGAAACTGTTTACATGCAAGTAGATCCATTACTATGTTAAATGGTTGTTTACTGTGTAAGTAGTTTAATCAATAATCTAAATAAATCCGTTTGAGTTATAATCCTATTACATGTAATTTCAAAATTTTGTATCAGCCTCAATAGCCTAATAACTACCAAGATTTCTTCGATTAACAATTAGGTTTATTATCCTCCCATTGATTAATTTTATTACTGCCGTGTTTACTTTATAACAGCAAGCCTACCATTGGTATGTGACTGAACATTAAAATATGTATATCATACAGGGAACAATAACGAAAACCATAAAATTGAATAAAAATTCGTTCACCGTTAAGTTTAATAGAAATAACCCTTACACAACAAAATGTTTGTATTGAGCAAGTTTTGTTAAAGAAACTGTATTTGCAAATTCTGATTCTTTCTTATCACCTCAACGTATTTATTCTAAATTAATGTAGTTATAAACTAAATATTTTAAAGGAGATTCTGACATATTCTGTTTTGTGTATATTCTTGATGTTTAAACAATCTAACAATGTAAGTATTACATTAAACTCTTTGCTTTTTTTCAACCATTAAAAGTATTATTCTGGATATGAGTATTGATAATATTTTTTGAACAAATATATGTCTTAAGCTTACATATTTTGAAAACCTACTGACGTAAACAGTATTTGCTAACCTGGTTATAGTTTAAATACATGGTTCTTAAAATGGGTTTGATCGAACCCCAGGGGCCGGTCTCAGGGGTTCTGCAAGAAGCCAAGACACCCGGTCTAATGTAATCAGTGAGGACGATAGAACTATTATGAAGCGTTCTGCGAATGCATATATTAAACTGCTGGTGTTCGGTACCTGTGAAAAAAGGTGAGAACCACTGGTTTAGTTATTTAGCTAACGTGGTCATAGTTTACATAATTTGCTAACTTTTAAGATTTTAGAAAGTTGAAAGTTAAATCGATGAGACGTGAAGGAGGATTACCTGAAGGATTATCTGTAGGATTATCTGTAGGATTATCTATTTACTTTCACGGATCTGGAAGAATAAAAAAGTTTTGAATTGATAATTGGGGTCGGCGTGGTCGAGTCGGTAAAGCTCATCGTTGCTAAACCGAAAAGTCTCGAGTTCGAACCCTCGGGCAGATGAGGCTCGTTAGCTGGGGACATTGACTCTTCAAGGAGACACAACTCCAAAATCAAACAACTGCTGCCTTGTAGTTTGTTCTTGGTTGGACAAAGGCTATGGAAGCAAATCCAAAAACAAAAGCAGGCTGAAATCAGAGTCGGTGGCCTCAATGGCGCATAACCAGTTGACACGTATCCTTAATTGTGATGGAGGCGTGGTCGAGTCGACAAAAAGCTCATGGTTGATAAATTCGAAAAAGTCTCGAGTTCAAACCCTCTGGCAGATAAGGCTCGATCCCTTCCAACACTAAAAATTAAGAACGAAGAAGAAGAAGATAATGGCGCAATTTTAAATTTCAAAATCCTGATTTAAAAAAATAAACGGCCGGGGACGAGGTTTGTGTGTGTTTGTGCATATGTACGTATTAGCATTTGTACGTATGTGGCTGAGTTCGTCTGGTATGGAAGGAAGCCTCGTTTTTTGTGTTGATAAAACAGAAACATAAACCAATACGTTTTTAAACTAATTTATGACGTTTGACACTGAAGATACAAAAATGTATTATGTTACTTTGATTTAAACAACAGTTTCAACAAATAATGCACTTTCTGTTCTATACATACATCTGTTGAAAAAAAAAAACGTTTATGTAAATAGAATCAGACATGTCTAACTTTGTATAATGAAAAGCAGGTATAAAAAACAACTTACGTAACAGAAAGTTTAAAATGAGTTAGAGACCACTTTTACTGGTCGAAAAATAGATTTTGTAGCATTTTTCGTCAAAGATTTTTTGAAAACTAAAACGCTTACTTTAGATAATCTGATTAATCTGTCAAACTTTTATTTTTCTGTGATGTGATGCGATTTAAAATGATCCAAAATAAAGATATCGAAGGTCTTCCGAAAAAAAAAACCACTTTTTGTTGGATTGTTGGATCTTGAGTCGCCTCCCACACACCCGCACACATTCTCAGCTGGTGTGGATATGGGCACATTTTAGATCGTCAATAAAGTCTTGATGGTAACGATTTTCGCTATGTTTACCGCCATCTGTGTGGACCAAAAATAGATATTATTTCTCACGAGGAAAAAAAAAAGCCACATTTTTAAAATCCGAAATCGATGTGTATCAATCAATATGTATTCGATGTAGACAAATCCCAGGTATAAAAGAAGTATTTGACTTTGGGATGATACTGGCTGAAGTGTGAGTTACCATGACGCCTTTGAGGACCTTAACGTTGTTGCTGGTGTTGTCTATGATGTTGGTGTACGTCACGGCTGCTGTGTTGCCTAGCAACACAACGACGACGACAAAAGCGCCAGCAACTACTAATGGTGAGTATAACAGAACCCTGCTGTCTTGTATGTCGTAATGGTGAGTATACAATGTGCCTGCTGTCCAGAATGTCAAAATGGTGAGTATACAATGAGTCAGCTTTCCTGTATATCGTAATGGTGAGTGTTAAAAAAGCCAAATTAAACCAATTGAGTGTCTGAGTATCACACATCATGATGTTTGATCTTACCGCTACAGGCGACAACTGCCAAGTAAACGGCAACATCATCCCTGCTGACCAAACCGTCAGCATCGAGGGTAGAGGCGATTGTTATTGCGTCAAGGACGGAAGTTACGACCTGCGCGCTGAGTGTGTTCTGGTGACCCCGCTAATGACGACACCCAATGTTTGTAACGTAAGGTTTAACATTTTTCAATACCCTTTAATTAAGGTCCAATGTACAACTAGTTTACGTGTTTGCAAGAAGAGGAATTTAATTATTTAACCAGGATGTTGATATTTAGAATAATTAATCTCCTCTTATAGTCTTATGTACTTATGTAGAGTCAAAATCAGTGTGTCTTCCAGACTTTTTCTCCGGGGGGGGGGGGGGGGGGGCACTTGATATGTTCGGGGGGGGGGCGGTCTACATTTTTGAGGGGGACACACGACACTGGTAGTTTTTGAATTGATATGCCCAAATATAGATAATCGAATAGAAGCTAAGTTTTCTTTCTAACTTTCGTTGCTAGTGAGGGTGTGTATTAATGGGGAGAAGGGGTTGGGAATGGGAGGTGGGGGAGGGGGAGTAAGGCGCGTTAGGCGACTGTGAGAGCGGAATTGTAAAATTATAATATTCTGTACGGCTTGGTTGAATCTCCAGGAAAACCTGGACAACTCTAACCCCTGTTACAAGTGCACATGTGAGAGCAACGAGAAACAATGTTACTACATCGACTGTTTTTTTGACCCGTGTGTGGACGGCTACTACGAACCTGGGGTTTGTTGCAAGATATGCCCCAACGGTCAGTGTCTGGCGGCCTCAACTACATACATACTTATATATATATATATATATATATATATATATATATATATATATATATATATATATATATATATATATATATATATATATATATATACATACATATATATATATATATATATATATATATATATATATATATATATATATATATATATATATATATATATATATATATATATATATATATATATATATATATATATATATATATATATATATATATACATACATACATATATATATATATATATATATATATATATATATATATATATATATATATATATTTATATATTTATATATTTATATACAAATATATATTTTTATATATATACATATATATATATATATATATATATATATATATATATATATATATATATATATATATATATATATATTTATATATAAATATATATTTATATATATATATATATATATATATATATATATATATATATATATATATATATATATATATATATATATATGTATACATATATAGAAAGGGAGAGAGAGAGAGGGGAGAGAGAGAGAGACGGATTGAATACTACGAGCATCCTATTTAATGTGTAGCCTCATGTTTTCTTCTAAAACACCCTATGTAATAGTTCACAATGATATCTCCACCTTCCAGGTAGAAACTGTGCTGTAGGAGGTACAATTATCCCTGATGGTACCAGTGTTGCTGTCGAGGGCTATGGCGAGTGCCACTGTTCTATGGACTACAACACGTTCCGTTTATCTGCAGCGTGTACACCCCAAACACCCCCCATGACCACCCCGGGGTTACCATCCACCCCTGGCTGTGATGTAAGTATTGTTCTGCCTTATGTTTTGTGTGGTCTATGTATTACCGTATTACAGTATGGTTAGACTTGTTTTGTCTTCAAATGTGCTGATTTAAAGAACTAGTTTAATCATATATAAAATAATGGCTAGTATGGTGTTTCACATCTCAGTTAAAAGAAGAAAAAATGAAAGAATAAAAGAAAATGATACAACGAAGTACAATTTTGAAAATTTTGTTGTCTCAAAAATTAATTTAAATGAATATGTTTATATTCAAACAAACCTTAAACCTCCAATATATTTACACCTTTTAGTATTTAATAAATACCGTTGTAATTATCTCATGAAAGTATTGGGATGTTTAATCCCCTTTACATTTCTCGTATTACGGTCACAATCTTTAACACCCCTTTGGTTTTTAGTTTTAAATATGTTTAACAATTGAATTTCAAAAAATTATCACTCTTAGTGCCAAATTGAGTAAACATCATTGTATGGTGTTTTTTCACAAAGTTAAAATAAGCCTGGGATAGTGAGATGCTGTCGTCGAATGTTTGTATGAGTGTGGCGTTTTTCAGGAAACCATCGACAACTCCGACCCCTGCTTCGTCTGTGAGTGTTACAACAACGAAAGACAATGTTACGTCATCGACTGTGCACCTTTAGGATGTGTGGACGGGTACAAAAAACCCGGAGACTGCTGCACCAAATGTCCAAACGGTCAGTTCCAGAAACTTAGAACTGGTCAATACATTGTTCGAATGGTCAATCCATAATACTTAGAACTGTCAATATATTGTCCATATGGTTAGGCCATGATACTTAGAATTGGCCAATACATTGTCCAAATGGTCAACCCATTATGAGTGTGGATTAAAATATGTATAACTAGTTTTAAAATTTAATGAAAAAGTAAGTAAAGATTATTCTTTACATCTAGAGATCCATTGGGCAGATGAAGCAGAGTTCATATGTTTCTAGTCCTCAACATATTAAGTAATCGTGTGTTCAGCACTATGCCCAGTCATCTTTACTTTCTCCATCATAAGTTAGGTACATAGAGTTGGGTGGACTCAGGAACGTTATATAGTCACAAGTGCTAATCGAGATCCGAACTCAAGACCTCCGGGCTAACAGTCAAACGCTCTACCGCGCCGACCCATCTGTATTCTCTACTTGCAACTTTTCCTCCAGGCAACAACTGTGCCGTGGATGGCACCATCATCACCGAGAACAGCCGCGTCTATGTCGATGGTCACGGCGAGTGCTATTGCGTCATCAACTTCGAGAAGTATCGCTTGGAGGCTGAGTGTGTTCCCCCCACAGACTTCCCCCACACCACGCCCTGGTTACCTCCCTCTACACCTGCTAGCTGTGAGGTAAGCGATAACAGCGCACCCTAGTCGTAGAAGTGGTGCGGTAGTGACAGAACTAATGGTGAGCAACAGGTGTAGGTACCCAACACTGACATGCTCTCCTCAACGACCACAGCAACTATATGTACTCACCTACAGAGTTTCTTTTAGGCACACACCCTCCCCCCCCCCCGCCCCCCCCCCCCCCCCCGCCACCAACCCAGAACAAAATAAAATTTATACTGATAATATATACTTCAGCCAGTGAAAAATCTAGGCTAAAGGGATCTTGTCGTCCCCGCCTCCCCCCATCAAAACTTTTTCATACCCCTCCCCCCTTGTCATGCCAATCAAGTGGTCAATACAAAACAGGATAAGCCAGAGGCGTAGCGACCCTTCCCGGCGCCCGGGGACAAACTTTCGATTTGCAACCCCCCGCCTCGAACTTTTGATTTGCGCCCCCCCCCCCCCCTAAGGTCGGCGCCCGGGGACATATGTCCCCCACCCCCACCCCCTGGCTACGCCTCTGGGATAAGCTATGTAGATACGGCTAGCTAAAGCGAGCGAGTATTTTGATGGACATCGCTTCCTGTAACATCCGCGTTACGGCTATCTTGAGATCGTACAAGCTGAGACAGTGTTTATTCAAATAGAACTTTTTTCAAAATTATTTAGATAAAATGATGAACATTTTTTAAAATTCATATAAACATGCTATTTTTTTTTTAATTAGGATGTAAGTATCATTGTGTTATATTTGCAGGGTCTTACAAATCCTGCAGCAGGGAATCCCTGCATGTATTGCTATTGTATGAACGGGATATATGAATGTATAATTGGGGATTGTGGGATGCCGAGGTGTTTTGACAGTGTAAGGGAGCCTGGTGCTTGTTGTAGCACCTGCCCAAATGGTGAGTTGTTGTAGCACTTGCCCAAATGGTGAGTTGTTGTAGCACCTGTGAACATTGTGAGTTGTTGTAGCACCTGCCCAAATAGTGAGTTGTTGTAGCACCTGCCCAAATAGTGAGTTGTTGTAGCACCTGTGAACATTGTGAGTTGTTGTAGCACCTGCCAAAATGGTGAGTTGTTGAAGCACCTGTAAACATGGTGATTTGTTGAAGCACCTGTCCTTATGGTGAGTTGTTGTAGCACTTTTAATAATTATTTGGGCACCCCTATAAAAATAGGGTCTACGGTAAATCGTTAATTTCAATTTCTAACAAACCAAGGGCTTAGTATATGGATGAAATCGATTGTCTTTCTATCGTGTATTAAAGGTGAGAACTGTGAATACGGAGGCTCCATCATCCCATACGGTCAGACGGTGGATGTTCCCTTCTTGGGCACGTGCACGTGTGCAGAGAATCATTATACGGGAGAGTTGCTTGCTCAGTGCATCCCGTTCGAACCTACCACACCTCCCGACCCACCCACCACACCTACCGGATGTTATGATGTAAGGAAATCTTTCTGATCACTTTAAAAAAAAGGTGTAATCTTTTAAAATTAGAGCTGTAATGTAAGGAGGTCGTGACAAAAGTTGTACCGCGGTGTCTGTTTGTTGCCAGGGTTACGTAGACAGCGACGACCCCTGCCGGAGGTGCGAGTGTGACGGCGACCAGTTGATGTGCTACAACATACCCTGCGCCTGGGGGAAGTGTGTCGACGGTTACACGGAGCCAGGGCAGTGCTGCCCTACGTGCCCTAACGGTGAGTACTAGTCCAATTACCCGGGGCACTTCTGCCCAAAGTATATATATGTAACTAGGGTAGTTACCATACTATGGTTAACAACGTATTACAGTCTGATGCAATAGTGCAGATGTTGGGCTGATAACGATCACAAAGCCAAGGCGTAGTTTGGGAAGCGATACGACAAAGCCGCTGCGCAGTTCACAGGCTGACGTAACAGTGCAGATGGTTTATTAATCGGATTGTATGACAGAAGCTGCGCAATTAATATTCTGATGCAACGATTAGAATACAAGTACGAATACGAGTACGAATACGAGTACGAATACGATTACGAATACGAAGGGATATATAGGAAGGCGACAGCTGAGAACGAGAGAGTATCAAAGGACGGTGGACAGTAGAGAACTCAGTTGGTTACTGAACGGGTTAGACGTATTGTGTTAATAGGGACGATAGACATGTGCATTCGGTTATGTGAAGACTAGTGAGGACGGTTGGGGGTCAGTTGATTCATTATATTATTGTGAAGCATTTCTTTTGATTCATGTAATAAAAGGATCAATGGTAAACCTGCATCTTCGAGTATCTATATTGTGGTCGATGTTGTGTAGAATGAGTAAATACACTCGTTAACATTTGGCACTACAAGCAAATAGACTCGTTACATTTGGCGTTGTCGAGCAGTGGAATAGACTCGGTTACATTTGGCGTTGTCGAGCAGAAGAATTCAACTAGACTTGCCGCTTTAGGCACCCATAGTCAACCTAGTTCATAACTGTGTTTCGTGTGTGTGAATTCGGACATTCAGGAACAGTGAAAATTGAGGAACGAGGAAAATTATTCATACATACACGGTAGGAAAGGTCTTTTTTTTTCTACTCAAAGAATTAAAATTAGAATGTCTACTCTGGACGAGAAGCAGACCCATATTGTGGTCCTGCCCAGAGAGTCCCACATCAACAAATTTTACGGGGACGGCGATCCAACTTTAACCAACAGGTTCAGTGAAGAGGTCAAAGCGGCCTGGGCCTCGAGATACATGTCACCAGAGGAAAGATTAAGACTGCTGATGGGCAGTATAGGAGAGACGGTTAGGGCAGAGGTCAAATGCCACGATAAAACCATCCAATCAGATCCAGATAAGGTGCTGGATCTAATTATGGAGACCTTTGGGGAGAGACGGTCGGGATCGCAACTGCTATCGGGGTTCGTAGGCTTAAAGCAGAGAATGGCGGAGAGTGTGATGGAGTATTCACACCGAATGAACAGGGCCTTTGATTCGGTAAAGGGCAAAACACCTGACATTGATGTGCGCCTACTGAGGGACCATTTCATCGAGGGGCTAGCAACCCCGATCTTAAGGAGAGAGTTGAAAGAAGAGGTCTACAAAGACCCACAGTTGACCTTCCTTCAGGTCAGGAACTCAGCGATCCGCAGGTCCGAGGATGAGGACCAATCGAACTGTTCGGTAGACAAAGTCTCTGTGCCGGAACAGAAACAATCCCCACCCACAGGGACCGGCACGATGGAAACCATGATGGCTCAACTGTTGGCCCACCTGGATAAGGTTGACCAACAATTGGAGAGGTTAGAAAGCAGGCCAACAGCAGAGAATCAGGACAAAAACGGGACAAAACATAGACAGGTTAGACGGCCGCGACCTGCCAAGCCATCACTCCAGTGGACAGCTGACGGTAGACCAATTAGCCTGTCCTGCTCACAACCCGGACATATGGCACGGTACTGTCAGGGAAACGGTCGTCCTCTGTAAGGCAGGGCCAGGCTACAGAGGGGCGAGGTTATGGCCCAAGAAACAAAATGATGGGAGTCTGTCCCGAAATGGTGATTACGATTGGGGACATCGCGGTGAAGGCAATTGTGGATACAGGCTCCCAGGTGACGACAATTACGGAACAATTTTACACCAAATAGATGAAAGGAAAAGACCATAGGTTAAGGTCTGACACATGCATGCGCCTGACGGCAGCTAATGGACTAACCATTCCATACTGTGGTTATTTTCTGGCGGATGTCGTGGTGGCGGGACATAGGTTGAAGCAGGTTGGGGTGTTCGTTACGAAACACAACCTAGAGACAAATGTGTCAAATATACCTTGCCTGTTGGACATGAATATCCTTGGCCAGTTGCCAGAATTTCTTACAAATATTGTCGGATCGTCCACACCAGGTCGGGGATCAAAGTTGGCCAGGTTTGCCAAGACCAGAGGAAGGACATCAGTCCCGGCAAACACGGTCAAGGCAATCACATTACAAATTGGTGATAGAAGTGTGAATGGTGATGTGATGGTAGAACCATCTGGCGCCGCACTGAGGGCAGGCGTCGTGTTACTGAGGACATACACATCAGCGGAAAATGGACTGGTTCAAGGATTAGTGGCAAATGTATTGGATGAGGAAATTTTTATACCACCTAACACTCTGGTAGGAGTACCACAGAACGTCGAGGTACAAAGGTCGGCACAGTGCATCGAACTGATCAATACCAGCAGTAATGAAGTAACAATTAGGTCGGTCAATGTGACGGCCGAGGTGAAGAAAGAGGATGGCCGATCATATACATTCCCGGAAACTGAGGACCCAAAATTAAATGAATTACTGAATAAGTACAGGGATATATTTGCCTCGTACGAGGGTGATTTGGGGTACACGGAAGTAATAAAACACCAGATACCCTTACTACAAGACAAGCCTGTGGCGCAACCTTATCGAAGATTACCACCAAGTCACTACTCGGCGGTGAAAGCACACCTGAACGATCTACTAAAAAAGGGAATTATTACAACCAGCACGAGCCCGTATGCGGCACCGTTAGTAGTGGTAAAAAAGAAGTCAGGGGAGATAAGACTGTGTTGTGATTACCGGAAATTGAACAATATCACAAGAAGGGATGCATTCCCCTTGCCTCGTATTGATGAATGTCTTGATGCGTTGGGGGGAGCAAGATTTTTTTCTACCTTGGATTTGGCTAGTGGCTACCACCAAGTGGCCATGCACCCCAACGATCAACATAAGACTGCATTTATTTCTCCACTGGGACTGTACGAGTGGACCCGTATGCCATTTGGTCTAGCTAATGCACTTGCTACATTCCAGCGAGTAATGCAAAGTACTATGAGTGACTTTCTATTTCAAATAATGTTGGTGTACTTGGATGATATACTAGTTTACTCAAAAACTTGGGAGGACCATCTAGAAAGATTAGAACAAGTGTTTCTCCGTCTTAGAGAGATAGGAGTAAAGCTGAACCCAGCAAATGCGTCTTCGGTCTGAAATCGGTACGTTTTTTGGGTTATGTGATTTCGTCGGATGGCATCGCCACTGACCCAGATAAAATTGCAGCTGTTAAAGAATGGAAACAGCCAACAACCACAGTAGAGGTCAGATCATTCTTGGGCTTTGCTTCCTATTATAGAAAATTTGTACCTGGTTTTGCAAAAATTGCCGCACCGTTGCATGACTTGGTAAACAAAATGACAAAGAAACACAGTAAGGAGAAAAAGAAAGGCAAAACACAACTGATAGGTGAATTATGGACTGAGGAATGCCTGAACTCGTTTAAGCTACTGAAAAATGCTTTGACCGAGGCGCCGGTATTAGGATACGCAGACTTTGACAAACCATTTCGGCTAGAAATTGACGCCAGCTCTAAAGGTCTGGGAGCTGTACTATCACAACAACAAAAGCAAGGTTTCAGGGTTATTGCGTATGCCAGTCGAGCTCTGAAGGAATCAGAGAAGAACATGACAAATTACAGCGCCATGAAACTAGAACTTTTGACATTAAAATGGGCTGTGACTGAAAAATTCAGAGACTATCTATTAGGTGCTAAATGTGTGGTATACACTGACAATAACCCCTTGAGTCACCTAAAGACAGCAAAGTTGGGATCCATCGAACAGCGATGGGCAGCAGAATTGGCACTCTTTGACCTAGAGATAAAATATCGCCCGGGGCGGTCCAATGGCAATGCGGACGCTTTATCAAGGAATCCGTACGAGAGACCGGGCGATGAGGAAGAAACGCTGACAGGAATATGTGAGGTCAGAGCGTCAACAGATATCCCTCACGGGGTGCAAGTGATGCAAAACGGGCAGACCGGGGTGGAGCACATATCCACGGAGCCCCGACATATGGACATCAGTGATTTTAACTGCCTTAATCACAAAGAGATAAGAGATGCCCAGAGAACGGATAGCGGGTTACAGCCGCTATTGAAATACGTCCAGCAACAAAAATTCCCAGGAAAAAGGGAAAGAGAACAGTTTGGTCGAGAAACAAAGAAACTACTGAGTCAGTGGGACCGTCTCAGTATAAAGGATGGTGTTCTCATGCGGAGAATTCATGACCAAATAGACGGGACAATACACCAGGTGGTGGTGCCAGGACAATTACGAGAAGAAGTGCTAAAGTTGGCACATGACAGGGCGGGACACCAGGGTCAGGACAGGACGCACAAAATATTACGACGGCGGTGTTACTGGCCCAATATGGAGATGGAGGTCAAACGCCATTGTGAGGCTTGTGTGAGGTGTCAGCATGCGAAAATGCCAGTTGTCAAAATGAGACAGCCATCAGGACACCTACTGGCGACAAAACCACTAGAGATTGTGGCTATGGACTTTACGTCGTTGGAGCAATCATCGGATGGGACGGAACATGTGTTGGTAATGACTGATGTATTCACCAAATGGACTGTTGCGGTGCCCACACGAGATCAGACTGCCAAAACAGTGGCAAAGGTCTTAATAGAACATTGTTTCATCAAATATGGCATACCAAGACAATTACACTCTGACCAAGGAAGGGCCTTCGAGTCAGAAGTAATAAACCAACTGTGCAGCCACTACGGGATCAACAAATCTAGAACAACCACATATAATCCTAAAGGAAACGGACAGTGCGAGCGGTTCAACCGCAGCATGCATGATTTGCTGCGTACTCTAGAACCTGAACAGAAAAAACGTTGGCCTGATTTTCTCCCAGAGTTGGTATATCTATACAACTGCACCCCCCATGCCACAACCGGCTTTTCGCCACACATGTTACTGTTCGGACGGGAGGCTCGACTCCCTCTTGACTTGTTCCTAGGAAAAAAGGAAAGTATGACTGGCTCATACACCGCACTGGAATATGTGAATGAACATATGAGACGAATTAGAGAAATGTACAGGGTGGTACAGGAAAGACTAGAACATGAAGCACGGCGAAGGGAACCGCCGGTACAGACAAAGGACCCGCCACTCAAACTGAACGACAGGGTATTACTGCGTAGCCACCCGTTAGGCAGAAACAAAATCCACGACCTCTGGGGACAGGAGATATGGCAAGTCGTGGAGATGCCTAAAGTAGCAGGTGGCCCCTTTAAGATAAGACCCATCAATCACACCAAACCGGATCGGTGGGCGAATATTGCTCAATTAAAGAAATATTGTCATAGTCAAGAAGAGCAGTTACACACAAGGAAACCTAAGACAATTAGGGAACCGGAAACTATAACGGAAATTCACATACCCATCCCGGAACCATGTCACCATCAACAGCACAACAGCGATACACAAGTGGAGGATAACGGCAACAAAGAGGATCCCGTTCCTCCCAGAAGCAGAGAGACAGTAGACCATCAGATAAGTGGTCCGCGGAGAAGTTTGAGAAACAGAAAGAATACGAAATTTTTCGTCAGCAACCATCAATTCTTTCATGGTCGCGCTGGTATGAGAACAGACTGTTCAAAAAGTTATAAAAGTGAACTGGTGAAGGCACCAAACGAAAAAAGGTGGATGTGAATTCTAGAACTGCTTTGTGTCTGAGGAATATGATGTAGACACATTTGATATGTGAAATAGGGATAACTGTCAATCTTTTACGAATGTGACGACATTGACAGTGAGTGGAACAATAAATTTTTTTTTACGGCGGTGCGTTGGACATTGAAGGAGTGCACCTGCCAAGCGTTGTTTGTGGTTGAAAACACACAAAAAAAGGCGGGGGTGGATGTAACTAGGGTAGTTACCATACTATGGTTAACAACGTATTACAGTCTGATGCAATAGTGCAGATGTTGGGCTGATAACGATCACAAAGCCAAGGCGTAGTTTGGGAAGCGATACGACAAAGCCGCTGCGCAGTTCACAGGCTGACGTAACAGTGCAGATGGTTTATTAATCGGATTGTATGACAGAAGCTGCGCAATTAATATTCTGATGCAACGATTAGAATACGAGTACGAATACGAGTACGAATACGAGTACGAATACGATTACGAATACGAAGGGATATATAGGAAGGCGACAGCTGAGAACGAGAGAGTATCAAAGGACGGTGGACAGTAGAGAACTCAGTTGGTTACTGAACGGGTTAGACGTATTGTGTTAATAGGGACGATAGACATGTGCATTCGGTTATGTGAAGACTAGTGAGGACGGTTGGGGGTCAGTTGATTCATTATATTATTGTGAAGCATTTCTTTTGATTCATGTAATAAAAGGATCAATGGTAAACCTGCATCTTCGAGTATCTATATTGTGGTCGATGTTGTGTAGAATGAGTAAATACACTCGTTAACATTTGGCACTACAAGCAAATAGACTCGTTACATTTGGCGTTGTCGAGCAGTGGAATAGACTCGGTTACATATATAAACAATGAAATAATGATTACTACAATTATACCGTAACACATATTTTATAAATACAATGGATTGTCCATGAGAGACGTCACTCTGATTTTGGCAACTCTGTACCCCTCAATGCCAAACTTACTCTTCAATAACATGACTTCTACTCCCTCACTCCCTACTCTACACCAACCGCTGCAAGTATTCCAATCTTAAAGCAGCAGTTCATTTGTACAATTTGGATTAAGCTTCATGAGGATGAAATAAATTCATACATGGCTATTGCGGTTTATTAATTTTTTTTAAAGTTGCGATTTTTCCAGAAACGTAGTTTGAAAAATTACTATTTAAATTGCAAACGTGAGTCGCCCTACTGTCTTAAATCAATTACAATATAGGAACATTGAGCACAAAACAGTCGTTATATATTTGCAAATGGTACGGTGAATACATAATTGCCAGTCCATCTTTATTTTTATTAAAATTTCCAGGTCGCAACTGTAAGGCAAACGGGGTGATCATTCCCTACGGAACACCGGTGTTGATAGAAGGCATCGGTTACTGCTACTGTGTGGATGAGACCAGTACGTATTGGCAGGGTGGGGTGGAAGTAGAGTGCTTACCACTCTCCACAACTCCGTTCACAACGCCACACACCACACCAGCAATGACCACACTGTACCACGAAGAAACCACCCCAGTGACACCCCCTCAGACGACCCCAGCAACAGACGCCCCGTGGTGGGAGACGAGCCAGGCACCATGGGAGGACACAACTACTGACCCCCCGCCACAGGGAGAGGTCAGCAGCAGACCTGCAAGAAGTATTAGAGAGGCCGTTAGAAGGCTCATGGCTAAACGTTGATGTCTGTATCTGCCAACTGTTCCTTAAATGGCAAGTCCAACCAGGCAATAGAATTTGTTTAAAAAGAAACATTGTCGTGTTATACATTACTTATATTGCTTGTATTAAAAAAACTGTCGGATATTTTAATTGCGTTTATTTAGATTTTAATAGTATATAAAAATATGTTGTAGTGTTTGTTATTAGTATATAAACAATGTATTTCATTGATTATTAAAGGATTTTTTTTCCATTAAAATGACACGTATTCTAAAATTGAGATTGTTTAATATCTAACTACAAAAACAATCGAGGATTCCTATTCAAATATTATGTTACTTGCTGCAATTTTAGTTTAAAATTAAAATGTGAAAGAAACTTTTCTAACAACAAGCTTTAAACGGCGCACCAAAAATGACAAAACATCACATTTTTATGGTTTTTACAAGCTTTCATTCGTCATAGATCGAAACGGGCAAGCAAAATTTCAAGCACTTCTAACTGACCGACTCGCTTCCAGCTTGGGACATGGGTTAAGACGATGTCATCTGTCATAAAATGTAAAATACTTATTTGCTTAATTAATTTTTATGAATTAATTAAAATTTTCTGAAATTAGTAGAGTGACCTACTACTACTATCCCTCATTATTATACGCGCATTATCATGTTCATTTGGTTCGAAACAGTTTTTTAGTCATGAAACTATTATTTAAAACAAGTTAATTAAAAAAGTCTAGTGACATTTGTGCGCAATTTCCTTATCTTAATACTACTAAAAGTCAAGTTTGTTTACATGTTTGAATATTTATTTTTTTGTTTGTCCGATCGAAAATTGTGATATGTTCGACTCTATCTGGAAAGCTGTAAAATAGTATGCAGGTAGAGAATAATTTTTTAATGCAGACAGACTGTTGATCACAAATTTATTTAAAGACGTTAATTAATTAATTGATTTATTCATACGCAGAGTAACCCATTTTTTTAAAAAAGATTTGAAAAGCCACTAGACTCGACGGAAACAGTGACGTCACATGATGTGTTTATTTTTTAAATCGATAATGGCGGCCTATCGAAGAAGATTGTGTTCCCATTCCAATGTTTAACGCGTTCTAAAGCTAATTTTCTGTCGGCTTTAACTTTAACAATACGTCCGTTTGCTGTATTTATTACGTTCCAACACTTATATCAATTTTCAACTGTCTTTTTCATTTAGTTTTACAATAAATTTCTCTAGGTCTAAAGATCAGCTGTCGAAGGAAAGTTATTTATAGATCTAGATCTAGAATCTAGAATCTAAAAATCTAGGTCAAACCCAAGATTTATTAGTTATAAATACAATAAAAAAAACGAAACTTTAGCAAACCAGTCGTAGATCTAGAATACAGATAATTCTATCTAGATTTAGATAATAATGAGTTTCTATATACTAAACTATTTTAGACCTTTATTATTTTATATAAATCTTTTTTTGTATAGCTATGAAATATGCTAATTAGGAAATGCTGGATGCGGGGCCTATTTGCATAACTTAAGATTCATACGCGGCTTCTATACCGCTAAGTGTGCAAAATTATAGACGTAAACTCTAGATATAGCTCAGTCGTAGATCTAAAATATAGATAATTTTCTATCTAGATTTAGATAATAATGATTTTCTATATACTAAACTATTTTAGACCTTTATTATTTTATATAAATCTTTGTTTGGAATATGGTAATTTTGAAATGCTCGCTCCGGGCCTATAAGCGTAGCTAATGATTAGATCTAGATTCTAGGTCTAGCAAGAAAAACTAAACATAAGAAGACTTAAGCAAACGAGTCGTAGAATCTAGACTAGATCTAGATAATTCTATCTAGATCTAGATAATTTCAGACCTTCTTTATCTATATATATAAAGCAAAGTGGTCAAGTGCCCGATAGGGCACTTCCCGGCGCCGCAGGCGCGTCAAATTTGGCACGATGGTGCCTTCGGGCGATAGAACACGAGGGCCGGTGACGGTTGGCCGAAAAATATACGGAGAGGGGGTCAAAACTGACCTCGACTGACCGGCGCCTTATATGGGCTATATTACGAAAAAAAATTTCCTCCGACGACCCCCCTTGATATTTTGTGAGGTGGTAGGAGAATGCCTTGGGGTGTCACAAAAAACTCGGCATATCTGGGAAAACTTCGTAAAGGGGTCAAAACTGACCAGTCGTATTTCCCTATATAATCTATGTATTTTATGGGGAAAACAGAGGGTCATTTCAAAACGGATTTTAGGGCACTTACCTTCTTTACATCTGGCTAAGTTTTGGCATGCTTATAGGTAAATGGCTTGGCCGTAGGGCAGACATGTCGGTTTCACTCATAGCCCTCGACGAGGGCTAAAAAGTGACCGCGAGTGAAATTCTCTTTATATGAGCTCTATTACGAAAAAAAATTTCCTCCGACGACCCCCCTTGAAATTTTGTGAGGTGGTAGGAGAACGCCTAGGGGTGTCAAAAAAAACTCGGCATATCTCGGAAAAATCGGGAAGTGGGTCAAAACTGACCAGTCGTATTTCCCTATATAATCTTTGTATTTTATGGGAAAAACAGAGGGTCATTTCAAAACGGATTTTAGGGCACTTACCCTCTTTACATCTCGCTAATTTTCGGCATGTTTATAGGTAAATGGCTTGGCCGTACGGCTGACCTGTCAGTTTCACTCAAAGCCCTCGACGAGGGCTAAAAAGTGACCGCGAGTGAAATTCTCTTTATATGAGCTCTATTACGGAAAAAAATTTCCTCCGACGACCCCCCTTGAAATTTTGTGAGGTGGTAGGAGAACGCCTTGGGGTGTCAAAAAAAACTCGGCATATCTCGGAAAAATCGGGAAGTGGGTCAAAACTGACCAATTGTATTTCCCTATATAATCTTTGTATTTTATTGGAAAAACAGAGGGTCATTTCAACGCAGGCTTTAGGGTACTTAAACTCAGTATATCTGGCTAAATTTTTGCATACTCTTAGGTCAATGGCTTGACCTTTAGGGAAAACTGTCGGTTTCACTCAAAGCCCTCGACGAGGGCTAAAAAGTGACCGCGAGTGAAATTCTCTTTATATGAGCTCTATTACGAAACAAAATTTCCTCTGACGACCCCCCTTGAAATTTTGTGAGGTGGTAGGAGAACGCCTTGGGGTGTCACAAAAAACTCGCCATGTCCTGGAAAAATCGGGAAATGGGTCAAAACTGACCAGTCGTATTTCCCTATATAATCTTTGTATTTTATGGGAAAAACAGAGGGTCATTTCAACGCAGGCTTTAGGGTACTTAAACTCAGTATATCTGGCTAAATTTTTGCATACTCTTAGGTCAATGGCTTGACCTTTAGGGAAAACTGTCGGTTTCACTCAAAGCCCTCGACGAGGGCTAAAAAGTGACCGCGAGTGAAATTCTCTTTATATGAGCTCTATTACGAAAAAAATTTTCCTCCGACGACCCCCCTTGAAATTTTGTGAGGTGGTAGGAGAACGCCTTGGGGTGTCACAAAAAACTCGGCATATCTGGGAAAACTTCGTAAAGCGGTCAAAACTGACCAGTTGTATTTCCTATATAATCTTTGTATTTTATTGGAAAAACAGAGGGTCATTTCAACGCAGGCTTTAGGGTACTTAAACTCAGTATATCTGGCTAAATTTTTGCATACTCTTAGGTCAATGGCTTGACCTTTAGGGAAAACTGTCGGTTTCACTCAAAGCCCTCGACGAGGGCTAAAAAGTGACCGCGAGTGAAATTCTCTTTATATGAGCTCTATTACGAAAAAAAATTTCCTCCGACGACCCCCCTTGAAATTTTGTGAGGTGGTAGGAGAACGCCTTGGGGTGTCACAAAAAACTCGGCATATCTGGGAAAACTTCGTAAAGCGGTCAAAACTGACCAGTTGTATTTCCCTATATAATCTTTGTATTTTATTGGAAAAACAGAGGGTCATTTCAACGCAGGCTTTAGGGTACTTAAACTCAGTATATCTGGCTAAACTTTTGCATACTCTTAGGTAAATGGCTTGACCTTTAGGGAAAACTGTCGGTTTCACTCAAAGCACTCGACGAGGGCTAAAATGTGACCGCGAGTGAAATTCTCTTTATATGAGCTCTATTACGAAAAAAAATTTCCTCCGACGACCCCCCTTGATATTTTGTGAGGTGGTAGGAGAACGCCTTGGGGTGTCACAAAAAACTCGGCATATCTGGGAAAACTTCGTAAAGGGGTCAAAACTGACCAGTCGTATTTCCCTATATAATCTTTGTATTTTATGGGAAAAACAGAGGGTCATTTCAACGCAGGCTTTAGGGTACTTAAACTCAGTATATCTGGCTAAACTTTTGCATACTCTTAGGTAAATGGCTTGACCTTTAGGGAAAACTGTCGGTTTCACTCAAAGCACTCGACGAGGGCTAAAATGTGACCGCGAGTGAAATTCTCTTTATATGAGCTCTATTACGAAAAAAAATTTCCTCCGACGACCCCCCTTGATATTTTGTGAGGTGGTAGGAGAACGCCTTGGGGTGTCACAAAAAACTCGGCATATCTGGGAAAACTTCGTAAAGGGGTCAAAACTGACCAGTCGTATTTCCCTATATAATCTTTGTATTTTATGGAAAAAAACAGGGTAATTTCAACACAATTTTTACGTTACTTAACCTCTGTACATCATGCTAATGTTTTGCATACACTTCTATAGATGACTAGGCCGTATGGAAAAACTGTTGGTCAGACTCAAAGCCCTCGACCAGTGCTAAAACATGACCGCGAGTGAAATTCTCCTTATATGAGATATATATAAATAATTTGACGATCGATCCCGTTAATATTATTTGAGGTCGTAGACCGACCCTGGAGGGTAACAAAAAACTTTAATCCCGTCGGAAAAAGCTATTGTAGTCGTTAAATATGTTTATATATCGTATTTTCTTATATAAGCATAGTAACTGTTTGTTTAAAAAAAAAGTAAACACAGAGATACGTCATTCGGTTAATTTCCAAGGGAGGTAACCTTTTTAAATAATTATTTTTCAAATAATTGTATACTATTTTAAACAGAAACAGAAAACGACAAAGTATAGCATTTGTTTTAGATAAAAAAAAGTTATTAATTAAGCTACGTATCATAATTAAATAAAAAATTAATTTTAAAAATCAATGTAATATAAATTATGAGATATACTGTTCATGGAACCTCTGTAGTTCTATTTCCATCTTAGTTATAAATTGCGTACTTTCGAACACTCTCTGAAAGCTGATGTTAAAGAGCATAGGCCTACAACATCTTCTCTAAAATTAGCATTACTGTTTACATTTAAGCACTCCACGCCTCATCCATCACCTAATAATTACTATTCAAATTATCAAATGTTTTTGAAAACCTAAGCGAAGCTAGGCAGTATGCCTAGTTTTATATAAATCTTTGTTTGGCTAATTTAAGATAAAATTTAATTTGAAAGTTACTACTACTAGAGTTAGATCTAGATCTATGCGCGTAAGGAGACTCAAAGTATAGTATAAAACTTCACTTGTAATGTCACGAGTAAATAGCTAACTTGGTAGTGAGGTCGGCTCTCATGTGGGTGGCACAGGTTCTAGACCAATTCGTCAATGATTTTTTTTTTCAATTTTTTTTTTTAGATGTGAATAATAAAGTTGCCTATCTGAACTTGGCGGGACACTGGGCAGGTGAAGTAGAGTTGAGTAGGTCACCTGTGACGTCAATATATGAAGGGATAGTCCGAAATCGTTGTTTTCGGTGTTTTTAAAAGATAAAAAACATATTTTTGAATGTGGGGTCTGTTTTTTGTGACGATAAGTGACACTGCAGTAGCGTAGCGAGGAGGGGGGGGCGGGAGGGAAGGGGAGGCGGGGGGAGGTGGACGGGGGAGGGGGGGTGGGGGGGACATATGTTGGGGCGCCAAAATGGTTTGGAAAAATAAATTGAAAGGTTGAGGGGGGTTCAAATGGAAAGTTTGAGTGGGGGGGGGGGGGTGCACATCAAAAGTTTGAAGGGGGGTGGGGTTGAAAATCGAAATCTTGGGGGGGGGGGGGGTTCAAATCGAAAAGTTTGTCCCCGGGCGCCGGGAAGGGTCGCTATGCCTCTGAGTGACAGACGTGATGTTTTTTGATGGATGACCCCCGAAACCCACAGTTATCCAACGGATGACGGGTATTCTAGTGTTATCTAAAAATAGCTCTGACGTATAATGTTGGGGTGCGTTCAAGCTAGAAGAACGATCGGTTTGTAGGTGTTTATGTAATTTTAAAATTTTGTGACCGAACGAGAGGATATTTTTGAAAACTTTCTTCGGCAATATTGTTCTAAATTATGACAGAAATCGATTGGTACATGTTTCAAGTCGCTAAGTGGCCTGGTTGCCGAGATATGGGCCAAAAACTGATTTTTTTCGAGGAGTTTTGGCTTTTCCGGGAAATACATGAAAGAAACCCGGAATTTTTATGGCCTATGCTCATTCTCGTAACTTGCTTAACATAATTGCTTTTGGAACTAGTCATCGATATTGCTTCGTTGAGGAGGAGATACGACTTAAAGCCCGGACACACATTCATCCATACATTCATTCATCCATCCATCCATTCCCAGAAATGACGAGTTAATAAACGCAATTCTCCAGAATGGAAATTGCGCTAAAAAATTAAAAGTACTGAAAAAAGCATAAAATGCATAAAACGTTTTAATAACAAGCTTTAATGTAATACTGCAGTGAAAAGGAGGAAATATATAGTTATGTTTATGTAAATAGTAGTAGTTTATTTCAAAAAATATTTTCTCATTTTTAGTGCATTATTACATAAAACATTAAAACTTGTTATTGAAACGGTTTTTTAATGCATTTTTTAATAAAAATCATAAAGAGCTTAAAGTGTTACTTTAGGTCACCAGAAATCAATTAAAATTTGAAAGAATTTGGAGAATAAACTTGTAAATATGTATTCTATTTCTTCAACCACCCTGATGCGGTTTGTATGTTACAGGTTTTTTGAAATCGGGAAATAGAGTAAAGTACCATTTCCTGATATTTGAAGTCACTCAAAACTTTAAAGTAATTCAAGTATAAAATCTTTAACTTATGTGTGACATTTTTTTCTGCCGTACTAATACCCTACTCAAATTATTGTGTTCACGCGATAGTAAAGTGCGAGTTCATGTACCGGATATCGCTCAAAAGAAAAGAAACCTATGCACACAAGTTTATTTGTATGTGATATTTCTTCCATTTAACTTAAACGGTACTGAACTTGTGGGGTTAGAGAAACTGGAAGTAGAATAAGTAACATTTCCGGTTACAGGATATCGCTCAAAGTTGATAGAAATTAAAGATATTAATATGTTAAAACTAGCCATTGTCGGCTAGGCTTTGTTCAAGCCATATGAAGCCATGTCCAAATGTAAAGGTTAATGCACATATGTATGTTTGTTTACCAAATGTTTTAACTAAACAAAAAAAGCATTACATAATGCGACGCTTGAAACATCAGCAACACATGATTCTAAAAAAATTGCCTACACATCACTTGCCATTCATCAACATCACGGTTCTTTACACAAATTTTGTGCACATTTACATAATACTTCCTTAAACTTTGCTGATGAGAAAGTAAAATGTGAAACTTTATGTTGTACGAATGTATACCATAAAGATAACAAGTTAATGCAATTCGTGAAAATTCAGTCATTAGCTATGTTAATTAAATACGTCTAATTTTATTTACACCACGTTTGATTTTTTTTTTTTTTTTTTTTTGTAACTGTAATAAACGTGTGTACAAAACATTTAGATACCAAGAATTCTACACCACGTTTGATTAAAAGTTAACTCACCATGGTTTCGACATGTCCTCTTATTGTATACTTGTTATGTGTTTTACAAAAAAACAACAACACTCAAAGCTTAGCGGTGTAGTTGTTTCAGTATGTTGCCATATATATATATATATATATATATATATATATATATATATATATATATATATATATATATATATATATATATATATATATATATATATATATATATATATATATATATTATATATATATATATATATATATATATATATATATATATATATATATATATATATATATATATATATATATATCGTGATGAGAATATCAAAATATCAGAAGATTGTATTGATATACATTTATTTAAATTAATCTCTTCTAAGAAGAGATTAAGGTAGGCTACTCTTCGAAATATTTTCTTCATAAGATTGACAGCTGTATTGAAATAAAATAGATGGAGCATATTTGGTTGACGTCAGATCTCTACTTTAAAATCACATAGGAATACATCTACATTCTTTTGGGATTTTGATTGACACTTTAACTTTCCTGGAGTAAACCATGCAAGGTTATACATTTTGTTCTATTTAATGGTAATGCTAATCTGCAGCTAGACTTACCAGGAGTAAAATGTATTTAGGAAAAATGTTGTCGCAACAAATTTTATTTACGCTAATATTGTGTCAAAGTTATTGCAATGTGGTGTTAGCAGCTAAGTGGAAAGATTGTCTTGTAAGTGTTTTCATTTTTTGTACGATAGTTTGTCAATAGCATTTTTACTAAATTGTAGTTAAACCTTCTGAATCGATGCGATATCTATACATTTTATTATTTTAGTTAAGGTTCTAAATACATAATATACCAATGTATTTCTTTTTAGTTATTAAAATAGTGGTGTATTTTATTTTATGATTAAAATTAATAGTTTTTTTTCTTTCTTTTTTGCGATTTAATGTATAAAAGCTTGTTATTAAAACGTTTTAAAAGTTTTAAAAATAACTATAAATGTTCAAACTTTAACTCGCATGACAAAATACAATTCAGCATCAAATGAACACAAAGTGCGGAAAAGTCCGGAGAAAAATTAGTACTTTATATGGGAATTTGAAATTATTTCTTTAAAAAATTAATTAAGCTTCCAATTATATCAAATTTGATGTCACATATCATTGTCGTCCGATCTTGACCCACGTGCCAAGTTTGGAACGAATTGGCCAGTTACAGGTTGTAGAAATTTCGTTCGGCCGTCTCCACCCATTATAAAGCACTATGCACTAAGCACGACTAACAAAAGCAGGAGGATGCGAGTTAAATAAATCCTTGTAAAATTAGAATAACCCATTACCAATAAATAAAATTGTGGTTTTAATGAGTCTATGATGTAATCGCCATTGAAAGGAAAATGCTAATAAACAAACCAAAAGCTTAATCGTATTTAACAGGGCCTGACAAACCCAGCGCTAAACAACCCGTGCATGGAATGCTCTTGTGTTGATGGTCAGTTCCAGTGTATGCAAGCTTGCTGTCTTTACCCTGAGTGTGTGGACAGTGTTAAGAAGCCTGGAGTCTGCTGTCCAGTTTGTCCAAACGGTCAGTTTATTCAAGTTATTACCATTTAATACAGGGGTGGGCCAAGTGCAACCCGCGGGCCACATGCGGCCCGCCACAGGGTTTTTGTAGCCCGCCACACATTCAGATAACCCCGCCTTAATAACGTTTAAGGCTGTAAGATAAAAATGGCAATTGAAGGAGAATCTGTTTCTGTGCAGTATATCACATGGATTGAAGTGTGATCTACGGCTAACCGAATTTTTTTTCTTCGAACCAAGTCTGGTACTAACCAGAATCAAAAGACAGTAATGACGTCATACCAATCCTGGTAGTCGAACATAAGTCCGTAGATCTGTTTATCATTTCTTCTCCGCGGAAACATATGCTACCGTTTTATTTTAAACAGCATAATGATTTAAATATAAATTTTGATTAAATAAAAATAAATCGAGAGTGATCTCCCCTAAACTTTCTCGAATATTCTAATATAACACTACGTGAGATGGCAATTCGGAATATAGACATGATTTTTGTTTACTTAAACTTTTAAAAATAGAATAGAATCTAGTAGAAAAAGAATTGCGCACCAAGCGAACGCCAAAACAAAATGTGCATAATAGTGCGCAATATTATTAGTACTTTATAAATTTACATGCTTTTTTTGATACATCGAAAATAGCGTAAATTAGTACTTTCGGTCAACGGAAATTACTCTAAATTTGATAGAAGGTAGAGAATTAGATCTTTTACCTATAAGTAATATTTCTTTCATTTATCTTAAATAGTACTCAAGTTAAAGGCTTTTGAAAAATTCAAAGTGGAAAAAGTACCACTTCCGGTTATCGGAAATCGCTCAAAAGTTTACACTGATCTACGATTTTGATAAAATACCTATACATGAAATTTTATCAACCTAGCTGTAACGGTACTCTAGTTATCGTGTCTACACACACACAGACACACACACACAGACACACACAGACACACAGACATACGGACAAGATTGCAAAATTATGTTTTTCCTTATCAGTGAGGTGTAAAACGTCGAGATTTCTAACAATCTCGATTTTTTTTGCACGATTACGACTTTCTCTATACTTTGTATATACGAGAAAGTAAAAAAGTTAAGGCTATGTATTGTCTAACTAAAAAAAACTATGATGCTAAGGAATATTTTCACTCTCCTCAGGTCGAAATTGCAAAATAAACAACAAAATTGTTCCCATTGATAGCAGGATTGTGGTCCCAGGTCTTGGCGAATGCTTGTGTGGTCCCCCAGGGGAAAAAGGTCCAGAAACTGTATGTTTCCCAATTACATCTGCACCAGTGACGACCACAACAACCACAACAACCACAACAACCACACTCAAGCCTACAACACAGATACCTACAACATGTCAAGTATGTAATAGTATATATATATATATATATATAGGCCCTATATATATATATATATATATATATGTATATATATATATATATATATATATATATATATATATATATATATATATATATATATATATATATATATATATATACATATATATATATACATATATATATATATATATATATATATATATATATATATATATATATATATATATATATATATATATATATAAAGTTGATTATGTTTGTCGATAACAACAGAATTAGAAGGGGTTAACGTATAAGTAAACGCGAACGTAAACGGGAACGTAAACGTTAACAAGAACGTGAACGTGAACGTGAACGTGAACTCAAACTCAAACTCAAACTCAAACTCAAACTCAAACTCAAACTCAAACTCAAACTCAAACTCAAACTCAAACTCAAACTCAAACTCAAACTCAAACTCAAACTCAAACTCAAACTCAAACTCAAACTCAAACTCAAACTCAAACTCAAACTCAAACTCAAACTCAAACTCAAACTCAAACTCAAACTCAAACTCAAACTCAAACTCAAACTCAAACTCAAACTCAAACTCAAACTCAAACTCAAACTCAAACTCAAACTCAAACTCAAACTCAAACTCAAACTCAAACTCAAACTCAAACTCAAACTCAAACTCAAACGTAAACGTAAACGTAAAGGGAAAAGGAAACGGAAACGGAAACGCGAACGAGTACGTGATCGTAAACGGTGATGGTAACGGTGACGGTGACGGTGACGGCCACGGCCACGGTCACGGTCACGGTCACGGTCGCGGTCACGGTCACGGTCACGGTCACGGTCACGGTCACGGTCACGGTTACGGTCACGGTCACGGTCACGGTCACGGTCACGGTCACGGTCACGGTCACGGTCACGGTCACGGTCACGGTCATGGTCATGGTCACGGTCACGGTCATGGTCATGGTCACGGTCATGGTCATGGTCATGGTCATGGTCATGGTCACGGTCACGGTCACGGTCATGGTCATGGTCATGGTCATGGTCATGGTCATGGTCATGGTCATGGTCATGGTCATGGTCATGGTCATGGTCATGGTCATGGTCATGGTCATGGTCATGGTCATGGTCATGGTCATGGTCATGGTCATGGTCATGGTCATGGTCATGGTCATGGTCATGGTCATGGTCATGGTCATGGTCATGGTCATGGTCATGGTCATGGTCATGGTCATGGTCATGGTCATGGTCATGGTCATGGTCATGGTCATGGTCATGGTCATGGTCATGGTCATGGTCACGGTCATGGTCACGGTCATGGTCATGGTCATGGTCGTGGTCATGGTCATGGTAATGGTCATGGTAATGGTAATGGTCATGGTAGTGATAGTGATAGTGGTAGTGGTAGTGGTAGTGGTAGTGGTAGTGGTAGTGGTAGTGGTAGTGGTAGTGGTAGTGGTAGTGGTAGTGGTAATGATAGTGGTAATGGTAATGGTAATGCTAACTTTTAACGGTCACGGTAATGGTAATGGTAAAGGTAGACTTGCATTTACTTTTTTTTTATTCCATTTGCCATTTTGTGTCTGTGCCGATGTCAGTCCCATATAATTTGATAGCACGTACCACGACTGTTGGTTCCTGAGAAACTGTCTTTTAATGGCTAAATTATAATCAGTATATTTTTAAAATAAATCTAAAAAGCATTTGGCTAACTGTATTGCAAAGTAACTCCTGCTATTTGCCCACTGTAGGAATATTTTCCATATTGTTTTCATACACAAAATTCTCATTTTATCTCTAGCCAACATCTAGTTGACTCATGCTAAAGTTCGGGCTGAGTCAATGTTATTGATGCAGTATCCACCAAGAAATCGTCATACGTAATTGACATATATGCGTTTGTCTGAAAATGTTAAATTATACAAAGTTAATTGTTAAACCAAACGAGATACACTTGTGAAAATTGTATGGTTGAAACGAGTTTACATATTAACAAATCCAACAACGTTTATTTTCACGTGATCCTATCCTAGGAGAGTAATAAAAAGAAGAATTGTAATTAATTAACAAAAATAGGATATTTGTATCAAATTGTTTTTACAATTGCAAACCACTAACAACAGGGCCTGACGAACCCAGCGCTAAACAACCCGTGCATGGAATGCTCTTGTGTTGATGGTCAGTTCCAGTGTATGCAAGCTTGCTGTCTTTATCCTGAGTGTGTGGACAGTGTTAAGAAGCCTGGAGTCTGCTGTCCAGTTTGTCCAAACGGTCAGTTTATTCAAGTTTTACCGTTTAAGGCAAAATGATTTGAATACAATTTTATTTTTATATAAGGCTTTGTATTGTTAACTAACTTTAAATGTTTAATAAGCACATATTTTTGCTCTCCTCAGGTCGAAATTGCAAAATAAACAACAAAATTGTTCCCATTGATAGCGTGATTGTGGTCCCAGGACTTGGCGAATGCGTATGTGGTCTTCCAATGGAAAATGGTCCAGAAACTGCATGTTTCCCAGTTTCATCTGCCCCAGTGACCACCACAACAACCACCACAACCACCACAACCACACGCAAGCCCACAACAACCACACGCAAGCCTACAACACAGAGACGTAATACTCCAAAACCTGTTGGTTACTTAATGTGAGTTTTTTTAAAGTCTTGTAGGTTCCAGAAGAGCACCTTGGTCAAACTTAGAAAAAATTGTTAAAATGTCATTAAACAATCAGTGGAGTAAACACTAAGGGCGGATAGGGGTTGATATCATTAGATAATTTTGTGAGCTCGTTACCCTTGAATGACTTTTAAATATGCTAGATTAGAGACGGAAGTTAGACTTTTCTAACCATGACATCTGTCAACTTGAAACTAGAGGATTGGAAAAAAATTAATGTAGTAATATTTGTTTGATTAAATGAGTGAATGTACTTTTATATCAATACAATAGCTGAATACTTAGTAGAAAATGTAACAAGCAGAAACCCATTTATATAAAAAATCGTTTTAAATGCATTAGATATTAAGAATAAAAGTAAACGTTTTCATTAGCAAGAATGATTAAAGTTCAAATTCTATTTAGTCGTTCTAGAAATGTTTTCTATACATTCTGCGACGAACTTATGTAATAGTCTATTTTTTAAGACAATGTGGCTTAATTTTAAATTATTTTTAGTGCATATAGTATTTATTAAAGAAGTATCTCTACGTCTATTATTTATCGACTTGAAGAAATCTTACTAAAAAAACAACAACCATGTCTTATGCATGCTTTAATTAAAACTATTTGCATTCTCTAATTACCGTTGAGCTTCTCTTTTACTTCTTATCTAGAAATTGTTTTTAATTTCAGATCAAATAGGATGAAATATATTTTTCCTTTTTAAAAGACCTGGAAGCATAACTTCTTAAATCCAACAATGGCTAATTGAAAGCATCACAAAAATGGTGATAAAAGTTTAAATTAATGTTCTAAATTTACCTGTTATAAAATAAAGCAATCATGATTTCAAAACCTCTGTGTCTACTTTATGTATTTTGATGTATGAACTATCTTTGAATGCATATATTGAAACATCTACTGCAAAAAAAAAAAGTTTAAATCTCTTTCAACCTAACGCAACACTGACAGTAATGCTCATCTTAACCCTATATTGCATACTGTAGCCATATGGCAACGTACCATTTTGAACAACCACAAATGTTTAATTTTACAGATACACATTAACTATAGTGTTTCATCCCTTTATTATAATCTCCCTTACAAAATAAATGCGAACTCTTTTTAGCAGAAACATTTTTGTTCCATTTCCGATTTCATTTTCGTGAGAATGTGGGCCAGCTTATCAACATGAAGGTTGGTATTTTTTTTATAATTTTTTTTTCATAAAGTACTTCTTACTTCACTATAAAAAAAATATAATGATAATTCAAAACTATTCTAAATTGTGTATATTCTATCATATGTATCATGTAATATGATTTACATACTTATTTAGATCGAAAATGGTTTGTTGCCATATGGCATCATATTGCAACAGAGGTTACTTTCAGGCTCTGTAGCCAAATGGCGACAATAAATCTATTTTTTGTTTTTTTAAAGATTTTTCAATGTATTTAGTTATATTCAAAGAAGATAATAATGCTCCTATTACCAATTACTTCCTAAGTTCTTTTGTTGAGAGGATGTCACAGAAAGAAAATTTATTTACTAAATTTATCCGCCTACTAATAATAAGCATATTTACTAGGATTAGTACAACTACTAAATAGATCTAGAATCTAACTATTTTAGCACATATATCACTATAAAATATATATATATAAACTGTTATTGGCAAATGCAATATATTATTTAGTCAAGAACATTACTGATTTAGAATAGTAGTAGTATTACTTATATAAACTTTACAATATATTTTATCGGCTAATAAAATTTATAATATATAATCCTAGCTTATATGATTTAGTTTTTAATTTTATAATTATTTTTTCAGAAGCTGCTAGTTACTGATACAAATGGATTCTAGAGAATTTTATTAGAGTAACATGAAAAGAAAAGTTAGAAGCATCATCAAACAGATGACCAGGAAACACTTCAGATACATTTCAAAATCATGACGGTTAGTTACAAATAGATTTAGGAACTCTGTAATCATAAAAAAAATGTTCACAAGATAGTAATCAATGCCGCTATTTATTGATAATGTATTTATTGATTGGGCACACTGCATGTCATGATATCTAGCCTGAATTACCAATATAATTAATTATACCTTAGGGTTTATTTAGCGTAGAAATGTTATTGACGACACGAGCATATTGGTTTGACTAATTATTGATAGAAATGTTAACCTTTTCTTATAGGGAAACAAATGTTTGTGTACTATTGACACAGTAAGTTTTATTCCAGTAGCCTACAGTTAAATGGTGGGTAACTTGATATTTTTATTTGTGTTATTCAGGTGAAGAAATATGAAACACGGCACAAGTTCTCTCAGAAGAAACAGAAATGCCACACCAGAAATAAAGTGTCTGACACCACACCATTGTAGGACCAACAAATAAAATCTACAAGTTTTGGACAATTATGAGGATATAAAGATACTAATATAATAATATAATTGGCTCTCTTGTTGTAAAGTGATAGTTGTATGGGAATTGTGTAAATAATTAAATTTTGAAATTCAGTTTTGTAAAAAAAATTTTTTAAAAAGTGCTAGGAACATTTTTGTTAGCCATCATAATATATGTTAGTGTTGTAAATATTTGTAAATATTACAGCAGCTAGAATACATGGCTATTATCTGGTAGATATTTTAGTAATCACAATAATGTAAGGGGGTAAAAAGTGTATTGTACCATGCAGTGCGGCTAAAAGAACAACTATCACTGGATAATTTATGTGCTTGTATAATTTTTTTTATAAATCTCTTAGCTACAAGAAACTTACTACAACAAGCAAGTTCAAGAAATACACACTTGTGTCAATCCCATTAGGAAAACTGCTATAGCAACTTATTTTAGCTACAATATTCTCATGTGATAAAAAATAAAGATAAGTTTTACTAAGTTACTCATAATACTTTCCAAATTTACCTAAACAGATAAATAATGGTACTTATTGTGTTAGGTCCAAAATAAGGGTTAGGATTATAATGCAATTAAATAATGTGATCATTGATTTCAATACCAAGCATCCAACACAAGTTTTGGAAGTTTATCTCTTTCTTATGAGTGTAATATATAAATAAAAAATTTTTATGTGTTTTAGTAGTATGTGAAAATTACCAATTTGTGTTGAAATGCATATATTATTGATATGTTTAATAAATCTTTAGTTTGTACTGTCCTAGAGCTTGTTTGTCTTTGTTTATACTAAAATTTGTTAGTTTGTTGCCATTTGGCAACTACTGAAATTTTTACCCTTATACGCACCATGTTGCCGCATGGCAACATACCTACAAAAGCAATATCCCATAATTTTTTTTACAAATTATCCATATAGAAGTGATCTATGATCTACCCATAACATAAACAAAGCATAGAAAAATTTTTCCATGTTCAAATAAAAAAGCGTGCAATATAGGGTTAATGGTTTTCATTCAATGTTTAAAATATTTGATCTTTCTGTTGTTGACGTTTTCTGATCTAACGATTAAATTGCAGTAATTGAAATTAGTCAACTTGTCAATAGAATGTATAAAACAGTTATACGTCAAATTTATGACTGTTTACGTTAACTATTTGCATCTCGGGGTGTTAACAACTGAAAAAGCTCCAGTTTCAAACATTAAAATGTTGTTATTCATCGTATATTTTCTTTCATTCTATGATTCTTTGATTCTTTGATTGTTGCAACTCTTTCTCTTCAGTTATCTCCCACTTTGCTACGCAATGATTCATTCAATATTTTCAAAATTACTTGACAAAAAACAATTGCCCACCAAATGAATACAAATATCTAAGAAAATAGTAGGCTCCTTTAATTTATTTATACAGCATTAATTAAGCATCCAAAAAAGTCAAATTTCCTTTCACGTTGCATTGTCATCAGGTCTTTTAAGAAAGATTCAAGACAAATTTTTGATTCATGTGTCTGTTTCTAAATTGTATTTTGAACAGTATTTAAGCCATGACCTTGAGCATTTAGTACTGTTCATACCATACACTCAACCGATGAGATAAAAAACCGACAATGTATTTGTTTTTAAAATGTATATATATATATATATATATATATATATATATATATATATATATAGTTTTATTTTGTTAAATTGCTGAGATGTAAATATTTGGCAAACGGTTAAGACTTTGCATATTAAATTTGAAAGATCAACATAAGTTGCGGGAAGGAACTTTAACTCTAGGATTAGTTACTTACCTTTTAAAGGATTATCTCTGACCTTCACGATTTGGGTGTCAGGAAAGTAGTTTTATAAAGCCGATACGATGGTCGTGCATTTTGAAATTTTGAAATCTAGGATTGTGTTTGAAATTTGTGATTTAGAACTTATGCTATATTTATGTGTGGGGAGGAAGTGTGTGTGTTTATGTGTGTGCATAGGTGTGCGTATGTGCTTATGTGCATTTGGTAGGGGTTAGTGTCATGTGTACAATTTTAAAAAGTGTCCGAAATGATAGAGATGAACTCTTTGTTGATACTCACAATTTTGTTTAACTACTTTTCGACAGATGACAAAGTAAATGCACGCTAAAAAGGTTGTACGCCTACTGTGCACATTTGGTTTAGATAATAATTTAATCAATGATACACTTATCTAAATGTCAGGTTTATACACACAATAACAAACTTTCGATCTCGCTTACGAATTCTGCAACAGTCTATACATACAGTGAGTCGGATGATGATAATAGCGCAGGGATCGGCAATCTTTTAAGATGGAAGAGTCAAAAGTTACAATTTACAAAATTTCCCGGGTTTTAGAGAGTCACTAACATTTTAGTTTCAATATAATGATATTTGATTAGGATTATATATATATATATATATATATATATATATATATATATATATATATATATATATATATATATATATATATATATATATATATATAACGTTACCGTTAACGTTAATTATCTGCTCCTAATAGCCGTCACTAAACCCGGCTCTACGATTGAAAAACATTAAGCGTGAACCACAGCTCACCAGACCATGTGGGGGTGGTAGGGATATGCTTACAGAGGAAGAGAGGGAGCTGCTAGGCGCGCTTACAGCTTGGTGTTTTCTAGGGTATCCAAGAAGAGAATTATATATATAGATTGTATAATTTCATTTTCACTGGGTGGTGGGGTGCATGTCTACCCTGCGTTCAGAAGGGTGGAATAAAAGCCTGGTGAGAACCAAATGACAGAAGCGAACGATACAATTTATTCAAACCGATATCCAAGACAGTTAGTTTGCCGTGTTGATGCCTGCCTGGCTAATGGGAGACTCCTGTTGAGCCGGTGTTATTCTTTAAAAAAAACCGCTTGTAAACTGAATTGGGATAGTATATTATTTGATTAATACTTTTATTATTCTGGCGAAACATGTGTATGCTTTAATATAAATTAATGATATTTCATATTTTAAAGCTATATATTTTAAATAACAAATCAAATGTATTTACATAATCCTAATCAAATATCAAATGTTGAAATAAAAATGTTAGTGGCTCTTTAAGAATTGCTTAGTTTTGTAAACTGAGAATTTTGGCTCTTCCGTCTAGAAAGGTTGTCGACCCCTGTCTAACCGTTAGAAACTGCCAAAGTTTTCTTATTCGGACGACACAACAGACCACTCAAACTCCTCAGCTGAAGAGAAGAACACAGAGAAGAAAAGGCAAATACAAAATCACAATCTAACAAAACAAATACACGGAGGAAAAGAAAAGACTTGCTACCGATAAAGATGAAAAGACCTAGGGACTACACACTACAAAGATTTGCTACCGCCAAAGATGAGTGGACCTAGGGACTACACACTATATGATAACAAAG